CGCACAGCGGAGTGCCTTTGACTCGTAACATCTCCTAACATATATCCCGGGTACGGTTATCGCAGAAGTGTGGCCAATATTTCCAAAGTCCTTGTGCACGGCGTTAGGCTCTGCTCCGAAATTTAAGCCATATATCCAACTCTATACAGCTACGTGCTAATATAACCGATGGTACTCTAACTTTATGTCCGTCTTGGGTTTCGCCAACCTAGAACCTGAACTTGTGTACCACAGTGATACACGTAGTTGCAGTACCAACATTTTGTGTTCTGTTCCCTTGAACGCATGCACTCAATTTGATTCCGGCTCTTAATGGTATTTTGGCTTCAAGCTATCGTGTTCCACACCCAATGACCCCAGACGGCTAAACGTCTGGGTTATCCTGAGGATGCGTCTGCTGAGTTCCTCGTGATTATCTACAAGGTATTCAGGCTGCTATACCTGTCCGTTGAGCTCTTCATACACCGTTTCACAAGGTATGTTGGATACATAGAGTCGGAGTCCCGTGTGGCAACTAGGCACGCAGCGGTTGCAGGACATCGCGATCAAGTCGTGGTGTCTGCAGATCCGAAAGAAAATATCATCGAGATTGCCACGCGTGGTGTGAGAGTTATTTGAAGTCTATGGTTGAGGCATCAAAGAGCGGAAGAGGGAGTAAAGAACGCTACAGGCAAACTGAAGCTGCTTTCTACAACTCAGCACCCTCAGAGGTATATCGCAACGAAATGTGTGAAGTGTGCATACACCGAACACGGCGTCCCAAAGCCAGGGCTACCTAGATAAAATCCGCCATAAACATGCTAATCGCTGCTTTCTATCCACAAAAGACCCTACAATCCACCTCAAGCCAAGTTCTGCTGGCCTTTGCACTTGGCAGTGAGAAGAGCCTGACAGTTAGGCCTTGTTGGAGCGTGGCGAGCTGTGCATGGGCACTTCCTACTATGCTACCTAAAAGAAAATGAGAGGTTTCTAGAAATTAAATAATTACTCTGGCTGATTGTGTATTTTATGGGTTGCTAAGCAATAGATTAAGCTCAGTGCCAAAAGAATGACCAGTGCGTCTCCGCAAAGTTGCTGCGTGCAGCCGAGTGCGAGTGCTCACAGGGTGCGGCTACGCGCTCGCCAGTTGGCGCCTTCCTCTAGTTCCGGAATCTTCGAAGTAAAGACCACGGGGGACTAGAGAGTTTTTTGGAAGCGAAACAGAAAGATCTATTAGGTCCTGGTATTGGGGAGGGGACTAGTGGACCTACCAAGATGCCCCTAGATGAAGCACTAAACATGCGCAAAACGAATCGGGCTGCCTAAGGGGGAGGAAGGCAGTGGCAAGGGCAGTGACCGACTCATGTACTCTCACAGCTGCGGCATCAATGGGGAAGTGATTATCTTCATGCCCTAACACTGGTGAACAAAGAAGTTGCCGAAGGACTCCGCAGCACACGGAAGGGGCCGCGCAATGAAATGCAACATGGAATATAATCCTTTGAAAGCTTTTGGTTAAAATCGACATACTTACGACCAGCCGGAGACTATCAAGTTCCCCCCGGCGAGAGACAGAAAAAGCCGGGCCTCAACGTGTTGCCCCTATATGCGTACAATAAGCAAGAAAGGGCGAAAAAATCTGCGTCTGCAGGTTCCAGGCGCACAAGGCACCTGGAGCTCACTTTCTACAGAGGGTAGGCAGCTGCGCAATCACTGCTCCAACAAGTACAGTGCCCTGGAGTCAGCTTGCGAAATCGCTCCGCTCGCTGGGTGGTGGATTGGCACTAGGGCTGAACACTGCAGTGCCGTCTAAGTTGTCTGCGTTTGTAAGTACTCTACCGCATATTGGGATGCTTGGCTTTCGCCATGCGTGTCCTCTTGCCTTCTTTCCCTAGGGATTCTGAGCCCCAAGCAATGCGCATGCACACTCCACTGGTCTGGTTTTAGCAGCAACGTGAGTTGCTCTTCACTCTGCCACAAGTTCCTCTCTCAATGCACACTCGGCAGTCAATATGTTCTCAATCTAACATAAAGAAGTCGCTCTACTAAGCAAAGTGGAATTTATCCTACACTGGGGCAGCACATGCCTTGTTGCAAGGGCACACCGCCATCCGGAAGGCTCCCCTGGGGTCGTGGGGAGGCTGACAAGGGATGGTGGCTCAGTGGTTGCCTTTTACTGGGTAGAAAAGGGTACGAACGGCGCCGCTTAGAGAAACGCAGCAAACTGAATGAGCTTCCGTCTGGGAGTGTACAGGCGAACATAAAAATAAAGGCACAGAGAGAAGGGTGTAAAAAACACGGAGGGTCGTGATGCTAGGAGAAGACGACCGGAACGGCGAAATAGAGAGCCACAGTCGCACGGCTTCTCAAAAACGTGGATATCAAATTGGAGATCAAGGCTGCGGCGGATGCAGCGACGCATGGGGTCCACTTTGAGGAGCCGGCAGAAAGCAACACATGAAACAAAAACCAAAGGGTTGCATGTTGCAGTTTTACAGCCAATATCCGGCCGGGTGGGGTGCTGCTGGGAAAGATGGGGAGAGCGAGAACAAGAGGACCTCTTCTTCCTTAACGACGCCTCCAGCCGTCGTTGCTTGGTAAAGCCCCTACCTAATCCTTACATAAAGAATGCCTTGGGCAACTCTTAAAGCAGGCTTCTTGTGCCCCAGGCTGGTTGATTTCCGTGTTAGCGCTTGACACCGCAATGTGCTTCACTCGCAGCGCGTAGGTGCGCTCGGTAGCATGGCTATCTAGGGGTTTTCTTCCTCCAGGCAGCTACCACATTGACGGTAAAAAGCCGAATAGCCAGCCGATGGAAACAAGCCGCTCAAGTACCCCAACGGCCGAGGAGCGTTTTCACTTCACAGGAACTCTAGCGACTCGCCTTCTGCGAAGTCATCGAGAAACGCAGCCTGGCTGCTCTGTCGTTGCGGCTGTTGGCGTTGCACGCCGTCATCCTCAGGGGTTGCCGTCGGCTGCCTCAGCCGCCTGGGCTCGTGGTTGTTCGGCAGTTCGTCTGCTCCTGCTGCCGAAAAATCGCACGCTTCTGCAGCCGTCGTGCTCGCAGGATCGCTCCCTTCTGCAGACCCCGTGCGATTCACTGCAATCCCCAGCAACGCAGAGATGAATACGGCAAAGGGCACGCATCCGAATCTGTAGCGCACGAGATAAATGCTCGAGGAGGGGTCGCCAGCGTCAAATAGCGCGAAGAAGTAGCCAAACGCGGCACCCAGTGCCATGGTTCCACAGAAAACAGTCACCAGTTGGGCGGAATACTCTTCGGGTATTGAGGAAGATCCAGCTGCGATCAAGACGCGGCGTAAGCGATCTCTTCCCTTCTGCAAGGAAGCGCCGCCGACGCTCGCATTGGTGCCGCTGGGCTGCTTGTATTCGGAGTACAGATTGAGGAGGTCTCCGAGAGCGAGTAGCAGCACGAGGCAGAGCGCAGTTCCCAGAGTCGCATACAAGGGGCCCTTGAATATGCCAATGTGCCGCCTCGAGAAGGGAACCAGCAGAGAGCAAACTCCCCCTGCGCAACAGAGGACCGCCAATCCGACGAGAGCTTTCTTGGCCCTTTGCTGGGACTGATAGCACAGCGATTCAGGCAAGCGTAAACCACCGCTGTAGCCTGTTTCTTGCTGCGCGAAGGCGTCAGCCTCTTCGTCTTCAGCCCCCGGAAGAGCTGGCGGAGGGATTGCAGAAATGGTGAGGGCCCTCTGCAAGTACAGGAAGGAGGCGAAGAGCAGCAGCAACGCAACACAGCCTGCAACGAACGGAGACAAGGTGGCCTCTAATAACACCTGGGCTACCACCAACGATGCCAACCCCCCAAACAAGGCACCCCCCACAGCCGGGTATAAATCCGGAAGCTCCGTGCCGTGCTCGAAAACGCCAGGCATCCTCTCGCTGCTGCTTTCGCCGCTAAAGAGGCTAAAAAGCTTTCTCAGCAGCGCAATGAGCTGCAATTGCTGCTGTTACAGCTACCAGACGGCTCTTAAAGCAGCTCTTTCGCGGCACGATTTTTGATGCACACGCTGCAGGTGTAGCTCTGGGGCTGTAGCCAGAACAGAAGGCGCCAGCGCAGCGCAGCCTTTGCTTTAAGAGGGCACACAAGGCTGCAGCCAAGACTCCTGGTGCAGACAAACGCCTTGCCCCTGTTGAGCTGCCCTCGACTTGCAGCATCCGGCAGGCCAAAGCGGCAACAGCACAAGAGCAGCAGCAGCCACTGTTGCAACAAATAAAGGCGGGCAGTAGAGGATTACGAGCGAGGAATCAGTTTGCAACCGATGAAGGGTCCGTGAAGGGTGCAGCAACGACACGGTGGAGCAGGTGCAACAGAGCAATTATGAAGGGCAAAACAGTGCAGAGCCGCCGCTGTTGGCATAGCAGGCATATATATACTCTCGGGATAAAGTCAAGGAAAGAACAAAGGGGTCATCGGCGGTGCAACAACTGCAGCCGGAGCATCATGGCTCCTCTGCTGCCGCTGGGGGCCCCCTCCCAACACTGCAGGGGCCCCTGCTCCACCATTCAATCCATGACATACATTGCGACAACGCTTCTTTGAGAGTCTCCCGGTTACTAAATTGCGACTCTCTGGCTAAAATAGCCACATCAACAGGGCTTAGCTCGCCACTTTGCGCAAGAGAACCATTCTCAACCAAAGTGCAAAAGCACCATCCAGCCCCCCCTGCACGGTGGAAAATCGGGCACCTCGGCTAAGAGCGCCTTTATTGCTTTGGTCCGATTGCTAGGAACACAATAGCGGCTTGCGCTTGTAGCAGAGTCTCCAAACCGCAGCTCCAGAAGGCTGGCTGTGTTGCTCCTGCGGCACTTGCCGCTGCCCTAGGAGCAGGAGGAGGAGAAGAAAGCAACCTTGAAAGGAGCAGCAACCACAGCGGCAGGCAGCAGCACCACATGCTGTGCGCAGAGTTGTTGCAGCAGTGTCAGACGAGGGGAAGGCGTTCGCAGCGTCAAGAAGCCGAAGCCACCTTCACCTTTGCCTACGGGGGGCCCCTCGGATGGCGCATCAGGCAGAGAAATGCGGAGCCTACCAGGGGCCCCCCCCCCTGGATCCTGCAGCAGCTACTGTAGAGACGGCGGATACTGCAGTCCCCACGCCTTCTTCCTTCTGCAGCGCCAGCAACAGCAGCACTCCGAGCAACAGCAAGGCTAACAAGGCTGACAAGAAGGCTAAAAAGCACAGCAAAAGCCCAGTGCATGCGTTCACTTGCGGAGTCGCCGGCATTAGCAACAGCACAAGCCGTTGTTTCGCTGCAACTTCAGCCCACGGAAAGTCGGCGGGAGCAATGACTGTTGCTGCTTCTGCTGCTGCTGCTGCCGCTGCCTTCGAGGATATTCGTAGAGTGGCTGCTGGCGTTCGAGAGGCCCTGCCCAGCTACACCCCCACAACCACAACTGCACCCACATCTACCACAATTGCCACCAGCAACGGCGTGTCGACGGATTCTCCACTGCCGACAGCTGCTCTCCCCCCGCAGTTTCTCTCGCCCTTGCTGCCCACAGATGGTGGCAACCTGAAATCTGAGAGCAGCGAGCATCACGCTCAGCAAGAAGGCAGTCTCTTGGAGAGCCTTGCGATGCAGCAGGAGGACGCTGAAGGCGTAGTCGATCCCTTGCTGCCTGAGTTTCTTAACCCCCGGCTCCTTGGCCCTTCTTTCTGCCGTTCGAATGCGCTGCTGCAACCAGTGCCTCACCGCTCTTCGCGGAAGCAGCAGCAGGAAAAGCAGCAGCTGGCCTGGCTAGCACCTGGAGCGGTAGCTTTTGCGCAGCTGCTGCTGCACCAGCATGACTACTTTGGAAGCTCAGCAGAAGCAGCAGCAGAAGCAGCAGCAGACCCTATGCGCAGCTGGGAATATGCCTTCGACAGCAGCAACTTCAAGGCATTCGTTACGGAGTGCAAGCGAAAGGCGTTTGCTGCAAGTAAGGCCCCTCTTCGTGCATCGCACTGCCACTTCACGTTCGTGTTCTGTGAAAACGGCCACAGATGCTCTCTCACGCCAAAGACCGCCTCCGATTTTGTGCAGTCTGCTGCTGCTGTTGTGTAATTTCGAGCTTCCCATGGGAGTCTGAGCTCCCCCAAGGGCCGTCCTGAGGGTTTTTTGTCTCTTTATGTTGAATGTGTGTGTGTGTATGCATGTGTATATGTGTGTACATGTGTAAATATGTGTGTATATATGTGTATATATGTGTATATGTGTGTATATATGTGTATATGTGTGTATGTATGTGTGTATATGTGTATATATGTGTATATATCTGTATATGTGTGTACATGTGTGCATATGTGTGTATATACATGTCTACGTGTGTCTACGTGTGAAACAGTACATGCGGCATTCCATCAAGGATGCCCAGGAGGGGGGCCCTTGGAGGGAGGGGCATTCTCGACCCCTTTCTCCCGCAGCAGCAGAGCGGCGGAGTTTGCCGTCATGGTCGACTTTCAGCTCTCTCTGTTATATCTGACTGGACGCCTGTTGCAGCAACGGGAGGACTTGCTGCAACAGACACGCGAACAGGTACGTGCTTTGCAACTGCCTTAGCGACAGGAAACAGACTGGCAGCAAAACGAGCAACGCCAGCAGCGGCCCTTGATGGAGCGTTGTGCATTGTGGAGCTGTGCTTGCTGCATGCAGATGCATTCGAATGCGCAACAGTGGGGGTTGCGCCTCAATGCCCAAAGCAGACGTATCGCAAGCCTCGAAGAGGTACGATGGGGGGCAGCCGTCTTTACGCCCAGCGCTGCTGCAGTTAGTACAGCAGCAGCGGCGGCAGCAGCAGCAGTGCCTGTTTTGCAGTGCGAGCTGCTGCTGCTGCTCTTGGTTTCGGCGTGCGTTCGTCTATGTGGGTGTCAGTGAGGGTGTCTGCTTCTCTTCTCTCCTCAGACGGTGCAACAGCTCCAGCTGGAATCTGTAGAGCAGCAAGCTCGAGAGCCGCAACTTGTGGCCGAGGAGGTGGGCGGTGTTGCCTAGAGTTTAAGGTTTGGTTAAGAGCCTACTGCATGCACATTAGGCTCTTCTCGCCTCACGGGTACCACAGAAAGTACTGGCACTTGCAGAGAGAGAGAGAGAGAGAGAGAGAGAGAGAGAGAGATACAGACAGACAGAGAGATACAGACAGACAGAGATACAGACAGACAGAGAGAGAGACAAAGAGAGACAGACAGAGAGAACGAGAGGATTTTAGGAGTAAAGGCTGCAATGCCTTCTCAACTGGACCGCCTTGAGGCTGCTGCGGCTGCTCTTTTGAGGTGCTGCAGGCAACGAGGACCACCTCGCCGCTTCCTGAGGAGTCGGGGAATTTGGTTTCGCAGAGGCTGATGGAGGAGGCTGCTGAGCTTAACAGAAGACTTGACGAATGCTTGGAGGAGAACAGCAGGTAGGGCCTTCCAAATCCTCAGGAGGCGTCTGTAGGGATCTGTGGTAACAGCTGCAAAGTTACTAACTGCAAGGCTCCTTACTGCGCGTGGGCAGACAGTTCCACAGACGAGACAGCACCACCTATAGCCGGATTTGAAGCTAAGCGAACACATATGTATGTATATGTATGCATATATGTATGTATATATGTACGTATATGTATCCATAGATGTTTATATATGGAGATCTACATCTGTTTCTCGGTAGGTATATCTGTTCTACCGGCAAAAACGACTTTTTTCGGGAGCTGCTGCAGTTCGGCACTAGTGTATGGAGTATGCTGTGTGAATGCGAACAGATTGCGAGTCGAGGTTTCGACCCTGCGTACACTCCTGCGAACCACCAACGGAAGCAGCCCTCGCGACAACAACAGCAAAAGCAGCAACAGTCCTGCTCTCCCTGTGGCTCGTAGCTTGAGTGCAAGCAACAGCTGTAGCAGGAGCAGCAGCAACAAGAGGGTCCAGAACGCAGATGTGTGGCGGAGAGGGGGCAGCGGCGGCAAGAAGCCCACAACCATCAGTTTGCATCCACTGCGTCGGCATACCCTCGCCGCTTTAGGAGGAAGTGCAGCGGCTGCTGGCGCAGACTCAGCACCAGTAGGAGAGGGGTGCCCTACCCTATCAGCGTCGCGGGGTGGCTCCAGCCCTCTGCTATCTTGCGAGAGAATCTCCGCGCCAGGATCGACTGGAGGGTTCTGTTCTGCACACCTTCAGTCACTGCATGAAGAGCAACCCCAGAGCCAACAACGACGGCGGATAGCCCAGCTGCTGCAGCAGAAGTCTTTACACGAAGAGATCGCCGAGGCACTGGCCTCATGCAACAGCGCATCATGCAGTGACGAATGCCCACCAGCCGACGCGACGCCTTGTCCTCCTGCTGCCGCTGCTGCTGACAGCGGCAACAAATGCGGTGCCAGCAGCAGCAGCAGCGGCAGCAGCAGCACCAACAGCAGCACAGGCGGAGCCCTCAACTTGCCCCTCAAGGCGTCCGTTGCTCATGAGCGGAAGAACGCGAGAAGCCGCAGCAGCACAACAAAACAATGGGGACAGAGGCTGTTGGCGCTGGTCCTGGTGATGCTGCTATTGCTGGTGCTGCTCATTGTCACGGCAGGCCGAGAGGAGTGGCAGCAAGGCTGCGTTGCAGCGAGATCTGTCTTCTGCGGTGTATTTAGGGGGGTGTTCAGCAGTAGGGGCGAAGGCGGGCTCACTGGATTTTGGGGATCCTCCCACGTACAGGAGTACTTCTTGAAATTGGCAGCTTCCTGCAGAGACGCAGGGCAGAGCCTCCAGGAAGACGCAGAGGCTGCACTTGAGCGACACATCGAGGCTTTTGCCCACGCCGCCACAGGGGGCGCCTGGACCGCGTAGCTATCCAAAGCTAGTAGCTGTCCAGCTAACTTTTCGGGTAGTCGTGTGTGTATCTGGCGACCTAGGTAACATTTTGTCAACTCGAGTTACTTATAATTGGATAGTTAGGTCTTTTCTTGGCGTTCCGGCTGACTAGCTGGCTCGCCAGCGATGTACAGGCTTGTGTTTGCTCTCTGTTTTAATCGTGGCCATGCTATTGTTGGACTCGGCGTGGGACGGTGTAAATGCTCGATTGCAACACTCTGCTTTCGTGGGCCCTTCCTTGTCTGTTTCATAAAACTGCGCGGAGCATTGCTGTCGCTATTTTCCCTTTTGAGGTCCGCTAAAGGCGGCAAAAATCCAATGCACGGGAGGCCACCAGATTTTTTCTGGGCCCTGCTGGCGACTTTTAGAAGCCAAGACAAAAGGAAAAGCTCACGGATTCCTGAAACTGCCTCCTAATTTAGGCAGGCCTTTCACGTAGCAGCAGCAGAAACTCGAACTGCTGATGAGGTTCTTAATCTGCAGCAGCAAGCACACCCACTAAGACAGCTCTACAAGCCGGATTTAGCAGATGCCATGGTGTTAAGGGTTCCTAGCCGAGGCCCTCCTTGCTCAAAGAGCGCCCTCGTCCACCAAGTTCACATTCATGTATATACGTAGTACACGCGCATGAAGTACTGCAACAAACGCCAGCAGCAGTGCAAGCAATCCGTGTCAAGGGCTCGCTGTGCATGTTTCGCAGCTAGGGGCTTCTCACGGATCCCATATTCTTTTGAATAACGGCGGAGAAACTGTTCGGATGTAGCTGAGTGCCGCCCACGGTAGGCCCTCCAAAAGCCTAGTTACCTACTTTTTGTGTGGAGCGTTCCCGTGGGCGAGCTGTAAACAAGCTCGCAGCCCCTCAGACGGTAATTCAATTCCCCTACTGAGGATTCATGCGGACTTGCCCCCGTCAAGTCGTCAGTTTGCCTTTGTTGCGCTGTAGGACTCTGAGCCGAAGGCTTGTGCTGCTTTTGAAGAAGTCTGCAGGCTGACCAATGCTTAGACCCGCAGGATGGTACGATAAAACTCGATGAGCACAAGCTACATCAGACGACACATAACGCGGGCGAGGCGAGAGGCCGTCATAAGGCAATGCAGCATGTGTTTGCATAGCAGGCCAGCAGGTTTAGCTGTACTCTGGAACTTGCCACTGCACAAATGCTATCCCACCAAGAAGCAGTGAAGAGTTGACCACTTGGCTTGTCGGTCCGTACTCATATGTCTTATTTTTAGTGGAGCAGTGTTGTTGGGTTGAAACAAGAAGATGCCAAGTTGTGTACTACGTGTGCGGCATGGGTTGCTACCATGGGCAGCTAGCTGCGAATGCTTGCAGTGCAAAGAGGGAACAGCTCCTCTCCCCCAGCTGCACCTCTCCCGTCCTTTCGGAAATTCTATGAAGAGCATGCGGGGGAAGAAGTAAGCTTCATAGGAGGGACTAGAGGTCTCTATTAAGTATGGTTTTTCGACTCTGCGGTCAAGTGTCGCCACATGGAGGCGTATAGGGGTGCACTTGATCTGGAGCAAACAGACTGCATGAACAGCCGGAAACCGACAGCCAAGACGCGCGCTTTTATCCTTATTGCATATACCCCGTGCAATAGCACTTATTCACATGTTGCCTTAGGGCCTTCACCCATGCTCTCCCTTTCCAGTGGTGGTTAGGGGGCGAGCGGTGATGACCTGTCTCGCTAGTGCCTCAGTTGCGTTTTTCTAAGTGTTTTTTTTCCACATCTCGGCCTTTTTTGTAAAAAAGAACCAAGTCAAACTGCCTCAGGCGGCTGTTACTTCCTCAGCGGCAAGTCCGGGCGGGGAGTTCCCTGGGACCAACTTACACGGGAAAGACACCCGAGCTCCACGAGGGCAGGAGACGCTCATGACGGGTGCGTTTAACCCCAGAGAAGCCAACACAAGACGGTGGCAGCGCAGGCAATGAAACGAGATATGAGACGTCAAAAGGTCTCGGATCGGCCCCTGCCTCGGACAGGAGCAGCGCAAGGCAGAGCAACCGATCGTGCCAGTCCGTAGCGCGTGTTGTCGCGACATGATAACTGAGCATGAGGGAGAAGAAGGGACTCGCAGAAAGCGAGTTGGAGGCTTTAACATGACTCGTCAGTCAGGACTGAGACGGGGGAAGGGAGCGGCCCGTCTCTCACCCACTGCGGTGTCGCCCCCGGCATACTGGACTGTCTCCTTGTGGGCCCTTCCCAAGGCACTGTTCTGTTCGCAGGGGCCTGGCTGTTTGTCTCTCCTTTCTCTACTGCTTTATTAAGGCTGCTAAAATGATTACGCGCACACGGGGAGCCATAGCCACCATTTTGGCGCTCTGCTGCGCCCTGCAGTGCCACGGTGAGGCGGAACCAAACCACCCCAGCGGCTGCCCGACCCATACGGATCTCGTTTTGCATGTCTCTGCTCTTCTTTCTCTCTGAGCTGTTAAATTGCCGTTTTGTGAGTCGGCCGGGGTGCAATCGGGTGCGTCATGCTCCGGTCCATCCCCTGCGGCCCCCCAGTGTGGGGTGTGCTCCCCTGCCTCCGCTGTAGTACATGTATTAATGCATATATGCGGCTGTGACGATCGCCACCCACCACCCATGTCTTGCGCAAAGACGCTTTGTGTGTCGATATGTCTGCCTGCACGCTCTCATGCGTAAGTCCTTGCGGCGTGTCGCCCAAGGGGGTTCGTCGGCGGGAAGGGCTATACGGGCCGAAAAACAGGCGCGATTGAAAGGTCTAAGTGCTCAATATGTATGCGTCGCTTCTCCATTCGTGTATATCTCTTGCACAAGACAAGCATGTGCGACTTTTGGCTCTCCTGCACGTTCTTCCATGTCGAGGCCAGCATTGCACTCCATTTAGGACATAGGCTGCCTATCACTGCTCGTTTTGCTCACATGCACACGCGCAAGCGTCTATCTGCACTCCCCCCTAAACTCAGAGAGGACGGTGGAGTGAGACTCTGCGGTGTTTTTTCTCGCTCACTGCCTTTCGATGGCCTTTCAGAGCGATGCGGGAGCTTGGTGAGCGGCTCTTTCGCACGTTGTCTTTGAGTTCCCCTCATAAACTACCTGCTTCGGGTGTTTGCTGCTGCGAATCATGTGCCCATAGGGTTTGTGGACCCCTCTACGGTGCGCTTTTCTTATCGTTACGGCATATGCCCCGCCAGCTCTCCTGCATGCGGCCCGATCGGGGGAAACCTCCCGCTCAGCACTGCCTCGTCTAAGGAGCCCTCGTCTCCGGCTCAGGCAAAACGCCTCCGGTTCCGCAACAATACAGCGGATGGCTCACGGGGGTTCATGTTATTTGCGGGCGAAGGCGAGGAGGAGCTGGTGCAGAAGGTGAAGGAGGTGGTTGCTGAGCAGTTAGGGGCAGATATCAGCAAGATAACTCCACAGTCACACTTCATAAAGGTAAGGGAAGACAGGGAACAACAGATGCTCCAGTTCTATTACCCTTGCTGGGCGCTCGCCTTCGGGATGCCGATTGTGTAGCCGTTGAAGTCGAATGGAACTGCACGAGATACCGGGGCAAGGACGCATACATATACACATCTTTATACATATATGTATATATATGAATATATGCATATTCATCCATATATACATATGTATATCACAAAGGCAGCCTTGGAAAGAGGAATGGAATTTCCCACGAAGAGAAAAGGGGGGAAAGACCCAAGAAAAAAACAAAACTCTTACATTCATACAAAGAAAAAGAGCGATACATACTTTCCCAGCCGTCGCTGGCTCGCGCATTCTCACTCTGTGTCAATATTTCCGCTTGCAGTGCGCGTATTGTGTTCCCTTTTACGCGTTTCCTGCAGGATTTGGAGGCGGATAGTTTGGACAGCGTTGAACTGGTCATGGCGTTTGAGGAGAAATTTGGCGTCAGCATCCCCGACGAAGAAGCCACAAAGATCACAACGGTTCAGGAGGCGGTCGACTATATCCGAAAGAACAAGTGCGCTTGACATGGGCATGCAAGCCTACAGGGGCATGCGCTGCAGGTGGCACCCCGCCGAGCCCGTGAAATGCTCTCCCTCCCAGTGCATTGCAAGCCAGTGAAAAATCCCAGTTCAATCGGTTGAAATATTACCGCTGGCCGAGTTTCTGCATGGAGCGGCCGGGCAGCAGCAAGGGGTACAGCCTCAGCCTCCTAGTGCAAGTCGGAGGCGCATGGAAGAACCAAGCGCTGCGTGCGAGATGTCTGTGACTGCAGGAGTTGAACGGATGGCCACCTCGAGGCGCAGCGGCAGCGAAAACAGCAGAGGGTATCTGTGTGCTGCAGTTTCAGCTCAAGGGTTTGATACGAGTTATTTATATGTACCTATTTTCTCCTCTAGTGTGCAGCAGTCTGCCACTGCCATCGCTGTTCCCACCCTACAGAGAGAAGCAGTGCACCCTTGGCGCTTCCGAGGCGCGGGCTAAGGGAACCCTGCATAATCCCGCGCTGGCAGGGACCATTCGCGCGCAATATTTGGGGAGTTAGGGAGGGGGAGGATGGGAGGAGGGGCGAGGGTAAGGGGGGGGCATCCCCGTACGGCTCAGGTGGCCTCTAGGTGTGTTCCTGCCCCGGCGTGTTGGCCTCGGTGCCTGCCGAGGGGTATCCTCTCGGGGATCATCGATAGTGCTGAGGTGAAGATGCGAAGCTCGGGATAGCGCTCCCCGCTTTATAAAGGGGGCGACAGGGGAAGAGGCTTTTTTTGTTTCTTCTCGCTTATACCTTTGCGTTGCGTCCTCATCTCCGTAAAAACACAGTGGAGGGCCTCCCTTTCGCCCTCTGCCTGGCTGATGGTATGAACCCAAGAACCAGTTCCGTTCGTTACGGCAATAGCGTTGCTCTGGCGTGCTGGCACCCGCTAGTGGGTGGTGGTGTAGGGGGGTGGGGTAGCGGAGGGTGGGTTTTTCGAGCTTTTCGATGGGAATGCGGACTTGGCGAGTCAAGGACCATGTGTACTGCTTCTCCGGGAAGGGTCACCAAGGTGTGCGCGGGGTTGTGGGCACATGGCCGCGCGTGGCGTGCGCATACACCCACGGTTTCTGGGGGCCTGCACTGTCTCGTGAGCCGACGGAACGCAAAGGAAACAACCAGGGTCCACCAGTCTTGGCGCATGCGAAGGCTGCTAGGAGCCTACCAAAAAATTATGAGCGAAGGCTGTTCTTGGGGGCAGCCAAGCCGCTGGAGGGGGGCGGCCGAGAACGCCTGCCTCAACGCCACCCCTCCCCCCCGCGCATACCCACCCCTGCGCGCTAACAATGAAGGGCATGCTCTGGGATAGCTGAAGCGCTGTTTTGCTTCTCCAAATGCCTTTAAAGGCTCGAAAGTAACGCCAATGAACATCGAGCGAGGGCCCTTTCGACGGAGGCTAGGGGCCCCCCCCCGGCGGCTCCCTGATCTCAGAGGAAGGGCGACAAACTTCGACGCGCTCTTGCTCCTTCGTCGTCAAAGCGCAAAAACTCTGCTTTTTACATGCTGAGCAGCTTGGCCATCACGGGTTCCCCCGATGCGGACGCCTCTAGTGGCGCACCGAGGGGCCCCTCGTGTATGTCTCATGGGTATGCAGAAGGGCGTCTTCCAGGGTCTTCCTTCTAGAGCGCATCTCCCCACATCCCTCTGGATGGAAACTGGAGTTTGCTGCTATGCGTCGGGATGCAGCAGCGTCGCCAGCGCGGCAAGAAGCACACTTCGGCTTACCAGCAGCAAGCCTGCCGTCTCCGGCGAAGAGCCACAGGCTGTCCGTAGGGGAGATCACCGCTCGGCTGGCGCCCCTCCTGTGCAGCCCACTGCTAAGGGCACTGCTGCACCCTTCTCTGCCGAACGCTTTCACAGCGCAGGGCCCCTGCAATGGCTGGAGTGTCTCAAGAGTCTCGCAGCAGCAGCCAAAAAGATGAAAGGCAAGATGGCCGATGCGCCTGTCTCGGTTTCTCCTTCCGTCTTTGGAGGCTTCGGATGGGGGCATGGGGACCTCCCGCCTTCGCTCTTGCTGTGGCGGGGGGAGCAGCGGCTGCAGCAGCTGTCTGCAGGCCAGCTGGTGCTCGCTGCGACTGCACTGCAGCAACTGGATCTGCGGCAATGCTTGCCCTCTCTGCGTGGCGGAGAGAACGGTGCGACCAGCGATGTTGCTCTCTTAATCCTGCAGTTGCTCCACAAACACGTTAGGAGGGACCTCCGCTGCCTCTCCCTCCGGCAGATCGGTGCCGCCGCACATACTCTTTCCCTCTGGCGATTTACACACGAGGACGCAGCAGCAGCTGCAAGCTCTGGGCTGCAGCAGCAGCATTCGTTTACTCCGGCAGAGCTGAGGCGATCCACCTTCCGCCTTTTCCTGCACTCTGCATCCGAGCAGTTAGAAAATCTCTCAAAGCAGCAGCAGAAACAACAGGGTCAGGCGCTGCAGCCGACGGGGTGTCTGGGCCTTGCGTTGCCGTTGCTGCATGCATGCACACGGTTACAGCTGACGGAGCTGCGAGAGAGCTATTTGGTGCTGCTGCGGCTGCCCATCTTGCAGCAACAAGTCGAGAGCAGCTCTTCTTTGCTGCAGCTGGCGTTGCTGCTGCACTGCAGCACACGGCTGCTGCTGCATGACGCCCCGCTGTACAGACAGCTGCTGTTGCGACTCGCCGACTGGGATGCATTTTGGCTGCTGCTCCAGCAGGAGCGGCAGCCCGCTGCAGCACAAGTCGCCTTTGGTCAACTCGCGCTGTGCTGTGTTGCCTTTGCGCCGTGGCAGATGGACGCCCTCGAGGTGCAGCAACAGCAGCAGCAGCACACAGAACAGCACTGTCTGTCCACTACAGCCTCTGGCTCTAACGCAGTCAGCAGGAGCAGCGCAGTCACCGGCAGCAGTGGGAGCTGCACGAGCAGTTGCAGTAGGCTGTCAGAGTTGCAAGACGACGTGCTGCTCAACGTATTGCGTGCCTCAGCCTCTGTACTACAGTGGCCTACAGCGGCGCGTGTAGGAGGTGCAGCAGCGGCAGCCACTTCTACGCGATGCCTTGGCTTGCCAAGTGCTTTCTTGCTGCGGCAGTTGCAGATCGCCGCCCTTGCACTGGGCGTGGAACGCTCACGCCTGGCAAGGGCCCTGGGGCAGTCGGTATGTGCAGAGGGAAACCCCACTTTCCCCATGTCTTTTTCTGCGCGAGAAGGCGTCTTTTCGGAGCAGCGGTATGGTGGGGAGCAGGCATCTTCTCCGGGGAAGGAAGGCTTTGAGGGGGGCCCTCTACAGGACGTGAAAGATTTGGTGGCGCTCTTGCAGCGGTGGCCTTTGGAGAAGGGGGGGAGCAGTCGACTGTGTCGCAGCAGTAGCAGCGAGCAGCACGCGAGTGTCGCTGCTGCAGCACGGGCGCTTGGAGTGTCTGTACAGCAAGAGGCCCCAGTGGGTCCCTATGAAGCGGATTTGCTGCTGAAAGACCGACATTGCATAGTTGAAATTGACGGGCCTTTACACTTCATGAGACCCCCGCCACAGCACACGCGCACTTTCAGAAATGGCGGCAGCAGCAGCAGTGGCGGAGCAGCAGATGACTTCGCGGCACTGCCTCGCGATCCTTACAGCAGCCGCAAGGGGACGGGCACAAAGGCCCACGAGTCTTCTACCTCCCGCACTGGATTGTGGGGATCTCTGAGCAGCGGGGAAGGCGCTCCCCCCGAGAATTCTCCGTTGGTGTATGATGTAAGAACCGCCCTAAAGCACCGGCTGCTGCGGAGCTGCGGCTGGCAAGTGCTGCATATTGCGTGGAATGATTGGCCAGTGGACTGCTACGCGCAACAGAGGGCCTTGGCAGAGGCTCTCAAGCACGTAGAGCGGCAAGCGCCGCAGAAGGCAGAAGTAGGGGTCAAGTGGGAAGGCTGTGGCGCCAGCTTGTTGGTTTATCGACCCCAGTCCCTGCGGCGCTTTCTGCACCAAGCCCAAGGCGTAGGCCTAGTTGAAACAGAGGCTCCTGAAGAGGAGCACTGCGAGTGCAGCCTAGTATAGTCGCATCGACCAAAGCAGCACAGGGGCGCAGCGATTTGCGCATCATCGGGGATGCAGAGCGCAGAGCCGCCAGAATGGTTGGTCGCAGAGGGCAGTGACACTCTATGCGGCTCCGCCTCCCCTCGCAGTTGGCTCTTAATGAGCTCGTGCGTGCCCTGTCGCTATTTTAGACCGCTCTTTCAAATGGCCGAAGAAGAAGTGAAGCTTTAGGCTTCTCACATGCCGTGTTTTATCTGATGGGGCCCCACTCGACCACCACCCCATCCATGTCAGGTTTTCGGGATCTGCTCCGTACCTTAAGTAGCGCTATAGAACATCTTCTCTTCCCACTCAACCCCTCTCGTTATGAGTCCCTCTTGTGTCTCTTTTGCCCATTTCTCGCGAGGCAGTTGCATGCATGCCCGCGCCTTTTCCAGAGCCACGAAGTTTGTTTGACTCCTTTCTTTCGTGCCGCTCTCGAAGTACGCATGCATTTACCCTCTTGCCTCCCCCTTAGTCATTTTCCCCTTGCTAACGCCTCCTCTTGCCGCCTTTCTCCCTTCTGTTGTTGCCCCCCGCCACCCCCCTAACATAAACGCATCCCTGCTCATCCTTCCCGTTATTCAGCACCTCGCTTCTGTCGCATCTTCTCGAATCTCGTGTGCGCCCATGGCGTTCTTCTGGCGTGCCAGCATGCTGACCCCGCTAACGAGGGAGTAGCAGTTTCTTGGTCACTCTGCCCTTTCCTAGGACGAGGTAACATGGGTGGGAGAGCTAGGGGAGCTGCTAATAAGCAACACTAGAGAAGACGCCAGCAACAGGGAGGGATGCCCTCTGGAAGAAAACACCCCCTGGTAAATGGGCAGGAGAGGCTCTAAAGTCGCAGCATTGCTGAGGTGCCTGTAAGGGTCGACTGAAGACCGAGTCCGCACATGCGCATATAGATCTACACAGATGTGTACTATATCTTTCATTGCGAACAGTTTAGAGCATGTGCCATTCGGCAAAGGAGAGCTTGTCGACCAGGGAACGCCAATCGGTGCAAGAGAAAGGTGGATAAATCCCCAACGATCGGCCCTGTGCTGCAGACTTCCTCTCGCTGTCGCCATTATAGGCCACGGCTCCTCGTGCAGCCAACTATTTGGACTCTCGTCTCTCCTTCGAGGGACGCCCACCGATACGCGTCACGTGGAAGAAAAAGAGAACCAGAGAGGGAACAAGCGCTTAGAATGCGCTTACGCAGCAGAAACCTGCAAGGCTATTCCACAAGCCTCGCCTTTTCTCCACAAATATACTTTCATGCATGTGCATAATATTTATGCGACACGGACCCAAATAGATCTTCGTGCCTCTGCGCCTCCTCCTCTTCCTCTTACGCTTCCATAGGAAATTCTCTCAGGCCAGCCAGTTCTTCTCATGGATTTTTTCGCCTGGCTTGTCTTTTCTTTCAAACGTGTGAGCCCCAAAACAATCTCTCTGCGCCTGGATAAGGTTTGTCGGGAGGGAAGCGCTCGTGAAGGCAGTGATATAGTGATAGGCCGCCGACAGAGCCGGGAGGGACAGAAGAAGAGCCGACGATGAACAAGAAGGTGCAGCACACGGACGCTGGATTAATGCCATGTCCAGCACGCGGCGCAGAGCCGGCAAGTGACGTGCCACCTCCGTCCGGATACTGAAGAAAAAATGGCATTCACAGAGCATAAGCAACTCTCTCTGTCCTCTCTTGTCTTCGTCATAGAGTTCACTACCCCCCGTAGCGCCTTCAGCAGTCACACTGGCTCTGCCTTTGGTTCCTTCCGCTAACCTGTCGACAAGAAGGAGATTTTCAACTTGCGGGTTTTCTTTAAAGGCCTTCTCCATTACATTCAGGAAACGGGCTCTAATGATGCATCCGCCTATCAGAAAGCCAGCCAGAAGCCCAAGCGGACAAGCATACGCAAATCCAAGCGTGCACACACCTCCGGCTATTTCGAGTGCAGATCGTATGTGCTGTGGCAATATACATGGCAAGAACCGTCTTAAGATGTGGCACTAAACACTCCCTACAAGCAGCAAGCGAGAGATTAACAAAAAGAAAAGCGAAGGGCAGAGCACGCTGCAGCCCAACCATGAGACGGAGCAGTACAAAATGCACATCCTAATAACAAACGTCCTGCCTTCCTCTTCGTAATGCCACTCCACTATTAATGCCAAAACAATCTGAATCCCTATGGGCTTCACAAGCATTGCATGCACAGTCATAAAATTTCCTGCTACCTTTCCATATGCGAGACACCTCAGCCAGATTGAGGTCCCACTGCTTTTCCTTGGACGCAGTGGCAATCAAATGGAGGCCCTGGGCGTAGCAGCAGATCTTTGCTACGTAAAGCGAGCTCTTAATGTCGTCTGAGATGCATTCCGCAAAGCAGCAACAGCCTGTCAAAATGGAATTCAGACTTGGAGTTTGAAAAGGGAAAAGAGATGAAATTAAACACCGAAACACATGGCACGAACCACTAGACACCAACAAAAAGGATATCGCAGTACCAGGCATCGTTATGCCTACAAATAGAAGGACGGATACGAAGAGACGTGCATGCGCCACATTATTTCGACAGGGGCACTAAGAAGAACGGCTGAATTGATTAAGCCTGTTCACAACCACGGCAAACATGTTGGACTCCGAGACCACTGATGAAAAATTGTTTCCCCCTGATATGTATATTCAGTATGATACCTACATGTATTCTCGGTTCATAAAGGGGTACAGCAAGCTTTATCATAGAGGAAACGACAGGAAACATGCGACCGCTCTATGAAACTTAGAGGCACCAAACAAAATCAATCAGACTTTGACACGAACAGAATATTACTTCCCTACCTAGGGGTGGCATCTTTTGTCCCTCTTTATTTTGCCCTTGCGGATTCATGCACTGTGTGTACAAACTGCTAAGCCTCTCCCGCAAGCCGCGGTGGGCGCTAATATAGCTGCAGCACATGCGCCAGTGGATTTATTCACAAGGTGTGACTACATGTTCCTAGTGTCCAAGAGCCATGACCGCTTCTCATTGGTTGCACCCCTCGTATTTGAGAGAGCCTCCCGGTATCTGCTATTGTAGCCTCTCGATTTGGCTGCAGTGCCACCTCCTAAACCGTTCCAATGCAACGCTGCTCGTGCGGCTACATTCCATGTACCATTAGGATGGAAATAATGCCCTCAGCCTCCGCGGAGGCACTTCTGCGGGAAGCAGAAACGAGGGAGTCCTAAGTGTGGTGACACGTGCGATTCTGAAGCCTGTGGACTACTTTCGCTGCTTTACCCCCTCCCCTTAAACCTGACATCCTCAGCAAGAGAGGCACTAGCACAAGATACGAAGACAAAAAGCCAAGAAAGCATCATGCATTATACACCGCAACGACGCATACCGCATATCCAGTGCTGCAGCAAGACAAGGCACGGGAACCCCCCACTCCGCTGCTTGTTGCACCGTCCATCGGCCCGTTCCTTTGTTGCCAGCCGTATCCAAAATCATGTCCAGCAGGTACTCTGAGCACCACATCACCAGCTGCAGAAGCAAGATCATCGGATGCAGAAGTGCTATTACGCCCGGCAGCGCAGCGCAACTGCTGTAGAAGCAGCAGCTGCAGCGCGTTGCTTTCTGGAACAACGGCGGTTCCTCATCAGCAGATGCAAAACATGAATGCCTCACCATTCCCCTGCTTCTTTTTAAAGATATGCGAGGTGATTTCGATGAGATAAGAATTGAGCTCTGTCTGGTTCCACTGGCTGAAGAGATCTCCCAATTCAGAATTTGTCATCCCATAGCAGTGCCGCAGAACACTGTACACCTGAATAGCACCGACCAAAGAAGCACCCCAAGCGACGGATTCGGTGCACTCGCAGGGATATTAAGAAAGGTGGAATCAGTCCATCGCGGGGGCAGTCTCTAGAACGCCCTCGACAGCGGCTCCAAGAATCGCCCGAAGCGCATGCAAGAGGCTTCATGCCGCGCCGCTACACGGTTACGCGAACTGTAGTGCCCCTTCGGCAGACCTGCTAGGCCCGCACGTGGCTTAGGCGTCTGCTAGGGGTTTTCTTGCCTCTGCAATGAGCTGCATGTCGCCATATTCAATGCCGTTATGCACCATCTTCACAAAGTTACCGCAGCCTCCCGGTCCGAGGAAGGCGACGCACGCATTTTGTACTTGTGCCTCACTGAACTGCGGTTGAGGGCCTGTTGGGGCTTTGCTGGGATCTATCTGTGCGGCAATCGGGAGAAGAATAGGCTTCAACGCATGCCACGCTTCCTTGTCGCCTCCGGGCATGAGAGAAGGTCCATGACGAGCTCCCTCTTCGCCTCCACTGACACCCATTCCCATGTAGCTGCGTGAGCAGCACCAGAGGCAGACGAACCGATATCCTCTCAGAGCCGCAGCAAACATGCACATCTGATCATAGAAACGAGGGAGGCTGCCAGGAGTGGAGCAAGAACATCTAGCAACAGCCTATGTTGCGTGAAAAGAAGCTTCCATCATCAAAAACCTGCCGCGTTGAAAAGAGGCAGAGAAACACGATAATAGCATATCGGCAGGAGCGCAAAAAGGCGGTGTCTCGCTCGGTTAATTTCCGCTTACAGAATCCCATGCTGCTTGCAACGCGCAATCCGTTGTTCTGTATTCTGATAAAACTCGTTCCCTCCATCTACAAGAATGTCGCCCTTTGAGAGAAGAGGCAGCAAGCCATCAATTAGTGCGTCGACAGGGGCACCAGCCTGAGGAAAACAAGCAGACTGCTTGAACACTCGTCTAGTAAGCCGTCATCAAAACCGTTTAGGAATCCACATAAGCTGCTTGGGAATCTTAGGAGAGGCTCTATGAGCCTTGGGGTGGAATTCCTATTCCTGCAGCCCTCTTGGGGAGCGTGCGAAGGCACAGAACAACATGAAGCGCACCAGGCGCTACTGCAGCGGAAGCTCATACCACCCCTCCTTTCAAGGTGTGCGCTCACCTGGACAAGCATAACGATTCGCCGAGGGCGCTTGATGTTTTCAACCTGGAAGCGATTGCACAGGGAAACTTGAACTCACTGAGGCAGGTCTCGAGCCGGCAGACTAGGCATGACTACGAAAGGCAGGGGAAATGTGAGGCAAACAGAGAACGAATAATGGCGGAACAGGCGAGAGAACTGGTCGCATGAAGAGAAGACGCATAGGAGGGAGCGGGTACTGGGTTTATAGCAACAACAGGGCCTTGTGTGCATATCGAAGCTTAAGACTCCAAAAGGTCTCAATCACCAAATAATACAAGACAACAGAGACGTGCACATTCATAGGTCCTACTGTAGCTCCTTACGTTCCCTATTCATGAGTGCTTCCTCTTGTTTTTCCCTCCCGTTACTCTGTCCCACTCCACACACTCTCTCCCTCACAGCTTACGAATTCCTTCATATCCTTGACGCCGACCATTTTATCTGTGAGTCCCTCTTCATTTGCGCGTTGGATGGCTGTATCGACTTTAGAAGGCGATCTATTGCTGACACAAACAGTATAACCCTTGCTTGCTGCATTGAGGGCCAAATTAACTCCCATTACGGCGAGACCGTAAACGCCCAGATCGCACGACATTTTCTATTTGCAGATGAGGTAGTAAACAAGAGTTGAGCGGAAAACTCAATCAAAATAAGGAATCGCGATGTGTTTTACGCCTCAAACGGTAAATAGTAGCAAACAAGAGGCAGTGCGCCACACATGGTATAGAGAAGTGGAGCACTGTGGGCGCTGCTGTCGGTTGCAGTAGAAAGGATTCAAGCACCAGATATCTCTGCAGGACATTAGATATCTTCTTTTAATTCGTTTAATACTATTCATTATTAGCTCAATTAAATGGAAAATACCTCACAGGAAGAGGCCGTGAAGCTCAGGATGGAATTGCAACTGCTTAGGTGCAGTGTTTTGATGCTTTTATGGGCCCAATGCATACCTTCTGCAATGTTCCTGAGTAGTTCTCGATGAACTCCACCCTAACATCGAGGACTAGGGCCCTCTTGCATTTTGCCAATTCGTACATTTTTTCGTACACATGCGGAACCACCGCACATACAGCCGTACGAATAGAATGGATTGACGCCCCACTTTACCGCTATTTCAAGCTCCTTACTTTTTTTCTCTGCTTTCGCGCACACCCAGTAGCACGTGTTTCCTCCTTCTCCCGCGTGTTTCGTGTGTGACAGGCTGCCTGAGAGCGTTGCAAGCAACTGTGCCCTCTTTGAACCCATCTGCACACTCTGAGCCAGCGGAGTTTTCCATGCCTGTTTGGTCGCGCCCGAGCGTGCAATTTCGCTCCTTTAAAGAATGCAAATGGCGAAGGGACTACCGTAGAGGCAGCGGATTGAATGAACTATGCCTGCTGCTTCGGCTTGCTAGAGAATATACTTATTTCTCAGTCTCCGCTCAAATTATTCAACGAACTCGCGTATACTGCTATAACTCAGTATCAGAGCTATTGCTGCTAGTAGATTTATTGCTGTTGGCGTAACTACTTGTGCTTCTGTTATGCTGGTGGACTGCTGCTCTTGATGTTAGTAAGGTGCCTATAGGAGAGCAGTGCGTCACGTTGCACTGCTTTAGACTTCGAATGCTCGATTTTGCGAACGCATCGCTTCACCCCTAGCTCGTGAGAAGGAAAAATCTACAAAAAACTGTACGCATGGCAGCGTAAACGTATGAGAGGGTGCACCAGTCCTCAACCAGGCTTCTGCTGCTGCTCCATGTTGCTGATATGAGTATTAGGGACAAGAGATCCTCCCCCCCTCGCAGCAGCAGCACGAAGTTCAGATGCGCGAGCTGCAGAGACGCCTCCCCTGGTGTCCGCCTCCACCTGTCTCCTCTCCGCCGCTTCCAGCCGTTGCTGCACTCGCCGCGAATCAAGCATGCCAGCAATACAGTGTGCATAAAAAGCGAGAGCGCAGACAATGACAGCAACATAGGCAGCAGTATTCTGGGTAGCCATGGGCAAAGCGACAAGTCATGGAGCAGCCAGAGGTAACGCGAGCAACACCAGCAACAGCAACACCCAGCTTTTAAAAATCAGCAGTAGCTACCCTCCTTGCTTCTTCTTGATCCACCTGACGCTGAGCTGCAGTTTTGCGTCCGCCTCCCCAGAGGCAGAGGCATCTATTCGTCACCCCCATCACTTAATGAATCGGAGAGACGGGGTCTTCTCGTGCGAACTGTGGATCCTTGCGGACGTGATCCCTGCATCAAATGAGGACCGGAGCTACTCCAGAGCCTAAATGAAATGTGCAGAAGTGCACTTGTGCACCGGGAGAGAGAGAAGAGGTTGCAAGGAGGAAGAGGAGCACGCAAAAAGCCTCACAGAGTATGAGGTACAAAGAAAGACAGGCTGAGGCTCCCCAACGCAGGGAGGCGTGCGATCCCTGAAAGCCCCAAGTGCTGCTGTCGGACTGATGCGTAGTACTGCAGCGCAGAATGCAGCGATCTTTATTGACGAGAGGGCAGGCACGATTCCTACTGGTGCAGAAACTGCACTCGCAGCAAGGATTGTAAAAAGCGGTGACAGTGAGCGCGCACACACGCTTAAGTTCAGCTACAAAATGCTGCAGCGAACTTCGAGAAGCGAGAGCCAGTGTTTTCAAGGAATCTTTCAATGTCTCGCAGTTGCAGGAGCAACAAATGCTGCTGCAGCTGCAGCGGCGCTTGCTGTAGCCAGCCCCGATCCATCACCATTGTCTGTACAAAGACCTGCATCCGTTTTCCCTTATCGTGTTCCTTTTTATTTTCTCATTTCTGCGGTTTTCCCTCTGTAGAGTGCTGCAGACAGCCCCTTCTTGCCTTTCTCGAGTAGGCACCGCAGCTGATCTGGGGGCCCCCTAGCAAGCCTCCGGTGCAGCAGGCACGAGAATCACCAGGAGCAGCAACATCGACCAGTGCGAGGTCAGAACAGCAGCAGCGGCTGCTCCTGCAGGCTCAAGCCCTCTGACTTGGCGGCGGAACGAACGAAAAAGTCTGAGCAGCAGACACAGGAAGTGCTGCACTGGCAGCCGCGGGAGCAGCAGGCGAACAACAGCTCCAGGAAAGGCACTATGGGCTTCCCGCGCATTGCACTAGCCGCGGGGGCTCTTTTGTTGGTGCGGGCTGCCCTCACAGTTATACGGGGTGAGGAATGCGTTGTGTTCTGGGGAGTTTTGCTGCCGATGCAGCTGGAGTTATGTTTGCGGCCAGTCGCTCATGCTACACGTGTTTCATCACCATTGTTCCTCTCCGTGCAGCATTTTTGCAGATATGTGGGGTGCACAGCCGCAGAACACAGACCACTGAATGGAAGAGCAGCGACAGCTTTGGCTGCACTTCAAGGTCGGTTACTGCTCCTTGCGCGATGCTTTGTGCGTGTCCACTGAAGGCCGTCGTGCTTTGACTGCAGCAGGCGAACTTCCTGAGGGCTTCTCTCTTCCTTGGACGGTATGCCGCTCCCCCCTCTGAAAGTTTGTTCTTAGCCAACATCTCCTTTGGGGGGCTGCTTGCCGGAGTTACGATGCTCCTGCCGCAGCTCTGGGAATACTTATACGTCGTTCAGGTGGCTGCTGTTCCCTTTGCTGCTTTTGCAATTGTTAGAGCAACAGCCGTCTTCGTGAGCGTTTCCCCTCCATCGTATAGATCAAGCAGTTGGTAACTCTTTGCCTCATGAAGCAGCGTCGAAGTACACGTGCAGCTGTTGCTGTTTCTGCTACAGGCTGTGGCACAGGCCTTGGCAGGCTGTTGCATCTGCGTAGTTGCTCTATCCAGGCATCTGGGTGGACTGCGGCCAATCCGTCAGCTCGGCGGCAAGCCAATGTGAGCGAGCACATGTATTCCAGTACAGCGGAATGCAGTGTAGTGTCTCTTTCTCTTTCTGAGTTCGTTGTTTTGTCGGCCCTTTGCAACACGCCGTTCCGCCCCCCGCCAACAGCCCCATGGCCGTTGTCGCGTTTAGTGATCAACCATTAGCGCTCAGAAGGATGGAGGAGGGAAGATGAAGGAGGGGGGGCTGGGCGGAGGGGGAGTACTTTTTCTACGAGTCTGCTTGTTCTGCTTCTGTTTTTTGAGGGCTTTGTGCGGATGCTCTAATTTGTTGGTGCAGGCGATGGGATGCGCTGCATGACCGGCCAGGCTTTCGGTCTGTGTACACCCGTATGCGATACGCAGCGCCGGTGCTGCAAAAATATGAAACGGCACGACAGAGCACAGTGCAGCAGGCTGATTCGCCACAAAAGAAAGAACAGTGAACGGGCTTGAGCAGAAGCAGTGAATAGAAGGGCCCCAAAGGATTCTCTTGTTCGTTAGCTACAGGGGGCCACGGGATGCAGCAGCAGGGGGCTGCAGGAGGTGTGCTGTGGATGTTTACTCGCGAATAAGGCTGTTGCGGATTTCCTATTACCGGCAGCAGCCGGTGCGTCTGTGCACATGCGTTACCTGGCATCTCAGCACGACCTAGCTACATAGTGCTATTGCCAGTCTGTGGCACTGTTACCACCAATGCTGTCATCAAGAAAAACTACGCTTTGGGAATTCAGTCGCCCACAGAAAACGCATCATGTACGACTTTCGGAGATTTCAGGGTCCAGGGACCTTGTATTAACAATATTAGATGCCAATCTTTCAACCTTTTTGAAATTTAGAGCTTAAGGCTTGCAGATATAGAACACGAGAGGCCTAAAGCTGGTGTTCTGGATGAAAAAAGCAGTCATGGATTCTACGTCTGTAGGTAGTCTTTTGGGCAGGTTTGGGGGTGTTCTGCAGTAGACCTGCAGAAGAGAGATGCGAGCGGGTGATATTGCGTACATTCACAGAGCTACCGATTCTCATGGGCTTAAAGCACCCTGAATAGGTGTTTCTTCATTGCAATCTGCCCATTGCTTTCATGGACGTCTCTACCGCGTAGCGCGGCGCGTTAGTGATACGCCTGCAGTGTAGGTGAAACTGATACTATAATGCTTACGTATTTTTGCTATTGATAGCATCCACTTATTCCGCAGAACAAGTGAATGGCGCACCGAGGCAGGTCACGGCAGGGAGGGGGCCCCCTCCTTGACTTGACCCGCCCCCGCGCCTTGGTCAGGAGGGCCCCCGCCTGTGTCTGCTTGACAATACAAAGGGACTCCGTGTTCTAGTTTCGTTTTCTTAGGAGCTACGCTTGAAGAAAAGCAGGTGTAGAAAGAGGATAATGTCCCAATCTTCCTCTTTTGAGAGCGGACAGGCCCCCGAGATCTGCCTCGTTGAGCCTTTTCTAAGCTAGCCGTCTCTTGCAAGGGCCAATGGGTCCGCCCACACAGGGCCCTTCTCCATGAATCAAGGCAGCTGAATTCAACTTGTCACCGTCTTCTTCATCAGTGAGCGGGGAGCCGTTGAGGCGGCCTCCAGGACCTGGAGTACGAGGCTTTGTCAGACGGCCCCCCTTGCCGTGGACGGCAAAGGGGGCCAAGGGCTTCCCTGTATACCCTGAGGCAATTTATTGAGACAGAAGCGCAGTTGCAGATAGATTTCACTGTGACTACCCTCGTTTGACTCTGGATACACGAAAATGCCGGAAGAAGCGAAAGGTAGATCCCAATACAGCGTCAACCCTATCCTTAATAGCCTTGCTCTTCCCTAGTCTTAGCTCTGAATGTTTGATGCAGCAGTGTCTTCAGCGTGAGGCGGCCCAGCGCCACCCTTCTCATTGTGCCCCTTTAGAGGTGTATCTGGGAAGTCTGCGCTTCGTACAAAGGCTTTGCAATTCTGGAGGCCCCCTCTCTGTGCGCAGGAGCATCAGACTCCCTTGATGGGACTCTGATGTGTCTCATGTGTTGTCGCAACTTCTGGACAGACATCGCTCATTTAAGGTCGGAGCGTTTCTGTTGACTGCCTCGGCCACCGACTACGCGTTTGCCTGTTGTACTTGGCTGGCCTTACTGGCCGATCCACGCTTCCGGTTGCTCTGTGTCCTTCAGTTTCTCCGTGTCTCGCGCTCACTTCATACGCTTTTGTGGTGGCGTTTCTCCTTTCTCTTTCTTTCCCTCCCGTGCGTGCCTTTCTTTGGTTTCTTGCGGGCTTATCTCATTCCGCCCTCTCCCTATTGCTTCTTTTTCTCAGCCCTCCAGCTACCCCCCTTCAAATGGAATCCTGAGAGTTTTGTATTTATTTTCGAGTGTGCTGCATTTGATTTCCCGCAGTATTGTTTCTTACTTTTTCTGGGTGGGCGTCATGTACTTCACTGGTGCCACCATCCTCCTCACAGGTAGGGACTGGTGGGACGGGGTCCCGCTATGTTGTTGGTTACCCTACAGGATCTATGTGGGGCTTCCAGGGTAGTAATAAACAGATCAAATGATTGCTTGTCTCTATTGCCTCTATGAGTGTTTCCTTGAAGAAAAGGAGTGTGAAGAAACAGCAGGAATAAAGCTTAAACCGGTAGAAGCTCAGATGAAACATGACAAACGCATGTTACACGACATTGAAGAGTAGAGGCAGAGACAGAGAGTCGAGAGTACTTTTAACGAGGTTGAGCTGTTGGCGTTGAGTTGCAGGGTATACATACTGCGCGCCACGCGTGAGCAAGGAGATCGCCTGCCCCATGACATCTTCTGTATATGTCTTTGTGGCACTGTGGCTGCTTCAAGTGAGGCCCATAGACCCCCACTTTCCCCCTTTTCCATCTGTTTTTGCAGTAGTTGCTTGCCATGCGCATTGTGTCGCTTCCCTTTCTTCCCTCCTTGCACTATTTCTGCCTGGTTCGCTCCGCCACTCTAGACTTGCCCTCTCTTAGAAACTTCGGGGCCTATTATTCTCTGTAACTACCCCTAGTAGGCAAGCCGTAGGCATGGTGCTCCGGGGTGTGCGTACAGTCCATTATCTTCTTCTTCACATGCTGGGCATACTCTACTGTCATCGTCACAGCAGAGTGAGTTTTAAACTGGCGCCTCAACACATCGCCTTAGTCGACAGAAGCAATCGTAACAGCTATCAACTGGCCCAACAGGCTCTACTTGTTGTGACGCATGCTCTGGTGGACTCTCGTTTTGCAGGGACGATTCTGAAAATTCCATGTTTCACCGTCCCAATACCTTCATGACCATTATTGGCTTCTTTGTGAAGACAGTCCCCACTTGGATCAGACTGGCACACGTGTTTAACTGCTGCCAGCTCGGTGTGTGGACACTTGACCTGCTCATTTTACCAGACTGCAACGCCTCAGGACTTAGATGGATCGTCGGTAGGCTTTTGCCTTGCTACGCATGGACACTACTACATTCTCTTGGTACCTTCTGCCAAATGAATTTGAGCTTTTGGTTGCTTTCGATGAACGAGCAGGACTCAACTCAGCGTTTCTGCGAGTCCTTCGTTTTTTAACCCTCTCCCCTGTCCCTTAGCCTCCTTAGCATTTTCTCTACGTGGACTGATTCTGCATGTGGACGTGTTGCTGCAGCAATAGTGTCCTTATTGTGGTGGGCTGTAGTTGCCATTGGGGCCCGTGCAAAGAAGAAAATCGTTGTCCCTGCCTACCTCTACGATCCTCTCCGACCAGGTACTCCTTCTGGCTGACCCCTTTTCTGCCCTCATTCCTATTTGCCTTTATTCTTTATCTGTGGAAGAGCTCAGCACATAGCTGGCTGGTTGTCGAATTTATCTTTTCACAGTGCAGTGCTACTACCATTCTTGCCACTTTTGTTGTTGCGCAATGCGCTGTTTTTTTATGCTGCTTGTGTACGCAGGGCAAGGTGTTTTTAGGGAGATGCGGGTGTGTCATTCGACATTAATCTGTTTGTTGTGGACATACAGTGCAGCGTGTAGCTTGACTTCCTCATAGCTTTATTTGTGGAACTCAACACTGATAGATTCTATCCTTGTGCCGATTTTGTTCTGTCCTTTTCGTTCGCTACAGCATCTCTTGCGGGGGTTTGGACCTTAAGGCCTACAGTGAGGAGCTCAAGTGACTCCTATGAAGCCGGCGCTGCATGGCTTCCTCCATGAGACCCTTGGACTGTTGTCGCCGTATGGGTCCCTCATCGTTTGGTCACCTTGCCGTTTGAAGGCTGAATTCGGGTTTGTCTCCTCTGCTGGACAGGGCCCGCCCGCGGTAGAGCGTGACGAGCTTAGACGGCCGCCGCGGAGTCTCCCTCTAGGAGGCACTCCTCTTGATGATACAGGACCGTAGCAAAGAGCACGTCGCAGCGATTGTCTCTAAATTGGTTGCTACGTATAGGACAGGACATGCACAACAATCATTGCAGTCCATATACTAGTGCACACTTACCTGTGCAACTGTGCTTGAATTGCAAGCAGTAGCATACTGAGTATATTGCAGTGGGTAAAATCTTGTTGCTTGATGCACTGCATACATCTTAAGCTAAAACGAGCACAATGGAGAGCTTGCCATGGGTAAAGTCTCGATAGTGGCGTAGACACAATGAAAGTCCATGGCTCGCACTATCGCTCATGGCGTCACTCAGTACGCCAGGCTACAACTCTTAGGTTCTTTCAGGGTTGTAAGACTAAAAAATATGTGGGATGTCGAAAATGCTGGCTTCCCTCCAGTTTTGCTCTGTCAATGCCAGAAGAGGCAGGCCCTATGTACATCGATATGCACGGAGCGGTTGCTACCTTCTTCTTTGAAACACATTTGCACATAAATAGAAGAAAATCGATGAGTCAAGAACTAAAGCGAATACTGCCTCTCTGTATCCTCAATCCCTTTTCGGAAAGGCCAGGTGAGGCCTGCCACTTCAAAGCATCTCGCACGGAGGAGACTCAGTCAGGCCTAGGCTTTACGCTGCGTTGCTTGTCTGTTTGGGAGAATATCCTTGGACAGGAGAATAACCTCCCAAAACAAGACGGCTAGATGCACGAAGCTCTGTTGAGTGTACAAGTGGTTGAAGTTCAGTACATGCGTGATAGACATCCCATCGATGAGGACAAACGAATTCTCATGTAGAACTAGATATTAAATCCAGCCAAGGGCATCAAGTTCTGCACTTTGCCGACTAAGGATTCGAACTTTTTCGCATACATGGATATTTTCTTGTTAACAGTTTCTACTCCTTTGCTGAGCTTTTCACTAGACTCTTCAAATTTCTGGTGGAGAGATACAAGAGAAGAACGAACAGCTTCTTCAGCAGATGGACACGCGGGGCATATGCAGTCAGAATTTTGGGCCAGCAGAGCTGCAGTGACGTAGCCACAAGTCGAAACAGCACAGCATCTTGGAAGCATACCATTAAGAACCAGCAGAAGGTGATCATCACAAACAGTGCAAGAAATGCTACACAGCACAAATGGAAAGAGAAATAAGTCTACACAATGGAGCTATCAACTAAAGGCAAAAAAAGGTGGCCGTGAAAAAGAATCTCTCTTGCTTCTTTGTGAGCACAGGATTGTGAGTGATTCACGCACACATAGTTGCCTCTGTTTACCTTGGTATGTCTCGGCCTGTGATTTGAACTGCGCTACATCGCCAGAGAGTTGCAAGTTTTGGATGTAAAGGCCGCAGAGCAGAGCGAGCTGTACCACGACCACGCTGATACCTAAAACAATGACTCCCCTGCCTGAATCAAACCACAGAACAAAGCGGGGTAAGGCAAAGGTAATAAGAATTCTTCTGCTGTGAGCAGGGAAACACTACACAGGAACAACACACAAAAATTCTGCATAGTTCACTAGTTTTCTACCATTTGGCTGCATGAGTTGGCCCCTGCGCCACTCCACGCTAGAAGCAATAGAAGAGCACCCATAAACGCTCCCATCCACGAAGGGTCAACCGAGATCCAGAATTCGTTAGAAAAATATTATACAAACATGAAATGCACCTACAGCAGCAGCCCTAGAAGCATCATGATTTATACATACACACATGCTTTTAGAAAAAGGCCATTCACAGAGAGCAAACGAAAGCCTCCTGCGATACGCTTGAAAAAGCTTGTGAAAATGAATGAACCAACCAGGCACCCACGTGGGGTAATAAACCCTTGGGTTGTCTGCTCCGTAGACAGGACACGATATACACGGATGCTCGGACACCCTTGGGAAAATAAATAGCTGCTATGTGGGCTAGATACCCGAAAATGCATTTCTTCCACTGCTGCCGGACCGTAGTGTCTTCGCCGGAGTCGGCGGTGAAGACGATGCCATTCTCTTTGATTGCCAGTCCGTCCCGAAATTAGTGGTAGAAAGATATCAAAGAATAAAAGCATACATCAAGACTTAAAAATACATACGCGCTGCACAGGCAATTTGAAATGCAGGGAAGCAAACCCTCTTTCTGATCCCCCAGGGGGGCCTATCATCAGTGAAGAAACCAGTGTTTACAGCAAAGCCATCAGTTTAGGGCGGCATAACAGAAATATAGTACAATGCATTACACATCCCAACTTCATGAGTAAAATACCCAGCGTCAAAGATACTTCGTCGTAAACAAGGTCGGAGCGAATAAGTCCTTGAATTCTACATTTGCATCCGTCTCACGACCTCGGTATTCAATGATTCACCCTACACTACACGACGCTACTGTTTTACTCCCCACTGACAAGTCCTTATGGCTTTATACACTATTTTTGGGGCTATCTTATGAACAAAGTTTTGGCAGGAAGCCAGATACCTTCTCATTTCTCTGTTCCTCCTCGAGAAGTTCACAGGAAGCCTCCGTTTAGAGAGAGAGACACTTAAGGGGCGATGCGAGGATGATCACACCCTGTTTGATTGTTTCTTAACTGGAAATTATAAACAGCAAGCCATAGGATCAAAGCCTTTCTTTTTGAACGAGTTAACTTAGCTGATAAGTGGAAATAATGCACAGTCGCGAAATACCTCATTTTCAAGCGCTCTCCCCAGGAGACCAGAATGCATGTTAACAGACTGGGGAACGAGTTTATATTACTAAGGATCTTGCGACCTGAAACCTCTGAGGCCATTACTGTGGCCACCGTGAGCGTCTAAGTGCCGCAAACCCGAGCAGCTGAAGCAACCCATGCTGACGAGGAAAGAGTGACTTGCCTGCTTGTAGTATATGAGCATTGCTATCCGGTTTAGAGGGATCAGGCCAAGAATGCTGCTCTAGCTGCCACAATCGTGTCGAGGAATAGCTCTCCAGGTTTTTGCACACCGCCATTCCACATCCAGCAGAAAACGAAGCGCCACCCTTCCGAGCTCCATAGACAAAAGAGGACGCTATCGCTCCTTCAGTTATTAGTTTGCTTGCAGCATTATAGCGGGGCTAAGCGATTAGTTGGAGCCTCCTACTCTATTGGCGACAATGAACCAACATCGAGCAAAAATTTAACTGACTGACTCGTTTGTTTGTATGCTCCCTCGTAGGCTGAATAGGGTTAGCTTAAGGCCATAAGTATGAACGTTCCATACCTTTGCGCTAAGCTGGAATTTGGAGGCAGACTAAATACCTCGGGATGCCCACAGTGTGCGAGATGTGATTTCTGCTGTCCAATCTAGATTCATGCAGAAACCTTGCAGGGAATGAGGGCGGGGGTATGGAGAACACGTTTTTAAATACACAAGAACCTCCGATTGCTTTTCTGTATTAGGCTTGAAGGCAAATTTTCTTCCTTCGCAGTTCATGTATAAAAACTTTTTCCACTAGTACAATGAAGGTGGCCCGCTGACGGGGAGTCCCCGTAGAGGCCTGCGATAGGGCTCGCACAAGAATGGGCTGCACCGGTTGAGAAGGCTCCACTTCTAAAAAAATTGAAAGTACCGGTAATAATAACGTAAGGAGGCTTCTGCCATAATAAGCTGCATTTCAGTGCCTATTTTTGTGAGGTGGGCTACCCTGACTCACACATATGTATCATTTTCGCCGAACAGTCCATAACGACTCTCAGGCAACGGTTTAGGAAATAAAGCCAAAGCAGATAAACGCCAAATTCATAGAGCTCGAGTATAAAAGAATGCAAAGCAGGGAGTCGAATGCGAGAGAAGAAACGCTAATAGACTCTAAATCTTCCATTTCCTTCTTCTGCCTCCAAAATACCCTGAGCTCCTCCAGCTGCTTGGGAAATAGCTGCAAAGAAGATGCCGTTACTGAGAGTGAATGGCCCGCACTGGAACTGTTTCCTCTGCATCCAGGAAAGAGAGCATATCTTGAAGCGCAGAAATGCCATTCTTTGTGCCTCTCTCTACACGCAAAGTAGAAGCTAGCTTTTTTATTAAAAGAAAGAGCATCTAGGGGTATATGAGGACTGTACCTGGAAGCAATCTACTCTTGTCACTTGTTTTGTTGCATGCACGATTTCCCGTTTTAGCTGTTCCTCCCCTTCTGGTTCATCAGTTTCTTCTGGCTGTATGCACGAGTAGGAGAGGCCAATCAGCCACGAATGCAATAAGTGAACACGCAGAATGTGGTTTGTTGAAAGGACATGTTTGTTGACTGTACCAGGTGTCTTTGTTTTTAGTAGGCCCTAGAGACCACGAAATGAAACAAGTTCATGGCAGGAAACGCATGGAAAGAGCACAGCTTGGATAAAAGGCGCGTCTTGTTGGGGGTATACCTGGGTCCACTTCATAGTGAAGACATTTATATGGGCCAGCGCAATGTCTCCAAAATCCTGGAAAGAAAAACAGTGAGTTCAGGTATGTACGGCCCTTGCAGCAGCCCACAGGTGTTTCCACCATTGCACACTCATAATGTTTGGTGTTCACGTTGTGGAGGTCGGTGCTTCGAAGGCGTTTTTTGAGGCTTGTAGCTGGTGAGTAAAGCTCTAACGACCGGTATATTTTATGCTTAATTGATGCAACAAAAAGCTAGCTGCAGCGCGGCCTCAGAGAGACTGAATTTCTAGCAACTCTTGCAAGCACAGCATATTCTCTAGGGAAGGCTGGTGGCTTGATTACCACGTCCACCGTAGTTATGATTTCAACGCAAGAGAACGCGAAAGTACGAAACAAAGACTCTGGTCTTGCAAAGAACTTTCTCACCTCTATGCACTTCGTCATATCCTTAGTGCAGGAGTGCTGCCACAACTTCTGTACAAAGAGAGACCAGCCACTCTCCAGCAGCTCTACAGAGAGAGGCGTTATGGGCAACACCTGCCGCGTAAAAACCTGAGCGCGATCCTCCGTAAACAAAGGCAGACAGGAAAATTTGAAAGCGAAAAAAGACAAGCGGGCGAAGGAAAAGAGATAAAGCCAGAGAAGCTGCGACAAAGTATTACAAGCCTAAAAGTATCCAACAGTGATAATATTGAGACGGCATCCATGAATCTACACGGGTACAACGGGTGTCCGCTGGGTGTCAATGTCACTGCCCAATGTGTTTCGTTGCTTCAGCGCTTAGCATGTTTGTCTATCACTCAATGGCCTTCCCTCCCACTACCGTTCTTTATTATTTTAGCTGCGCCTGCTAAGTCTTATTTTCTTTTCTCCCTAGGACCAGTGTGTTTGTCGTGTTCCTATGACTCCTCCACATTTTCTAGATCAACACTCCTTCCCAAAAAAGACGAAAGGCCCCTAGGGGTCTGAGGGCTCAAGGGCTTTGCAGTCTACCATATATGGCTCCACGCCCTCAATTGTTTCGAAGGAGGCTCCACTCTCGTGTACGCGACCAAGGGCGCCCAGGTATCGCAAGGCATGAGGATAAATGGAGTTCCCTAATTAGGTTGGACATCAGAAAACACATCAAAAGGGGCAAATTCAGCTATGCATATACAAAGCTTAGGCTGGCTCTGCAGATCCATGTGATACGGTTGCGACCCACTTGCATGGCCCCATGTAAAACAGTTTGAAGGGCTTTACACGCGCGTCTTGCTTACATTCCTTCACGCGGAAGAATGCGTTGCCCGCATAGAGCTCCGTCCCAGCCAAGACAGCCCCCCATCGGTGGAGGCTCATGTCCTTTGTGACCTTCCCGTACTGTGCGATGGCCCAGTAAGCAAAAGTAGTTTCACTTGGGCTTACCTATTGAAGGAGCAGGCAGGAAAAGGTCATACCCACTAGGCGCACGTCTGTTACAAGAACGCTGCCATTTACGAATGCACTTATGGTTGAGTTATCAAGAGCAACTAGCCCTTTGACATGAGCATTGCAAAGCCCGCTCACCGAGTAAGGGCCTTTGGAATCAACATAATGCATTCCGGAGTCGTATGAATTCATATACCACCAATCTTTGTGTCGGTATGGCTGCAATGCACAACAGCCGAAAATCCCGGCGGGCGTACTTCACTTTGATACAACACCTCCTGTGAGATTAAAGATTCGATTGAGGCCACCCTAAGAGGGGGGTAGGATGGCAGCCAGGGCTGGCAGGGGCTACCATATAGTAGGACTGGCCTCAACATAAAAATGGAAAACGACGTGGCAACACAGCGAGCTGGGGCCTACCGTGAAGCCGCGTTGCAAGGCCTTGCGGACCAGAGGATCAGAATAAGGTCCCAGGAAGTCAGGAGCAGCGATATTCAGGATGAGATTCAATATGAGATAGTGAATTTTTGGCTTTGCAATGCCCGTGGGCATGAGGATGCGAAGGCGTGTATTCAACCACCTGAGACACACCACCATGTAGACCTTTGAATACTGAAAGGTCAAGAGACTTCTAATAAAAGGAGGAGAACGTGTTTGTGAGGACAACACTTTAAAACCACTGCAAAAGGTGAATAAAACCATTACAACGCAACAGACACTCATGACAGTAATGAAACAGCATGCGCAAGGTAATGCTTTATTGGCATTTTGGAGGGGAACAAAGTTTCCCGTTGAATTCTATGATATGCCATAAAGGCGTCCCACGGCTGATCAAGGTGCCGAAGGCCCTAATTAGATTTTCTGCTATTATGAGAGACCTACTCGGGCTCAAAGTGGGCCACTACAGCCGCCATGTGAATGATGTAACCAAATAATGCCTGAGTACCTTCATAAAAGCCCGCACCGCCTTCTACTGAAGAATCGCGCAGAGCTGGGCACAAATTGCCAAGAGACAGAATTGCTCGAGGGTCTCCTGCAAAGTAGAAAGACCAGCGCAGGGTGGGAGTACAGCTTTTATGCTACCGATCACTGAGGAGAGGTAAGGGCAAAGCCACGGCGCTGCGCTTGAATTGCCTTGCCATTTTGTGATACCCCATCATCGGCTAGTCCGCCGGGGATTTCATCAAAGCCACAGGCACAAACGACGGATCCATACATCGTTTTTTAGTTGCTGGCACCAACACGGCTCTTGTTCTAGGGGCCAGTGGTATGTACGATGGAAGCAGACAGCACAATACGCTTCGGTTTCGGTTTCAAGGGAATTACCTCTGCCTTCCTCTGCCCCTGCAAACTCAATTTCGCTGAGGCCAACCCGTGGCAACGTGATGCACGGACCTTCCTTCTCTTGCCGCCTGCAGCCGCAAGGAAGAATACCCCCTGAAGCAAAAATGCCACAACGCGCACATGCACTGTAGAGGACGTTAGATACGTCCTCACACAGAGGTGAAAAAATTCTCGGGAAGCGCAGGGTCTACCCAAACTCATCATTTTACGGAAAGAAGATTAATGAGGAATACATCGGCACGGCGTTGAAGGTCCCACGGCAAGGCACCGGTCTACCGACCGTTCGTTTTATCACGAATTTTGCCTCATGCATAGAAGGGCAGCTGAAGCCCTTAACTCGTGCACCGCCACAACATGCTGTACCATCTCCTAATGGCTCACCAAACGTTGAGTCATAGATGAGGATATTGTCGAACTGTCCAGAGAGTAGCCGCTCTAGTCCCGTCTTAATAGAGCTCAAAGCCTGTTTTCCACAGCCCACAGCAAACAAAATTGGGCTATAGTCTTTTCTCACGGGCGCTCATCGAGGTCATGGTAAGCCATGTTAGAGTGGAAGTTAAAATTCGAACCCCAGAAACACAAGAGGAGCCGTTTGGCAAGAGGGAAATTGTGAGCAAATTTATGGATAGAGATGCAAGGCATGCAGGCATTTGACTCCTATTGTTACCTGCAGTTTCTCAGCATGCATTCCTGCGGAGTTAGCCACGACAGCGAGGCTAGCATAGCGGTGCATCAGCTGCGCCACACGAGAGAGTGATGGGCAAGAGAGTTTTCCAAAGAAGCTCTTGTGGTGTATTGAAGCTGTCTACATAGTCAAATGCTCTCCCTGAAACCTAGACATCTGGGTGAGATTATCGTACTCGAACCCATTTCTGCATGTCATCTGCCTCTTTTTCCAAGTTTTCAGACGACAACTTTGTGTATCCAGTGAAATCTTGCTTTAGCGACCACCTGTGTACCACGCAGCCCCAGTATCTGCCAAGCCTTTGCACTGCGTGAATATTGCCCCGTTTGTAGGTATCGGTTCGCAAGCAATTTGACTAGCGAGAGCGCATTCAACGTGTCAGGGAGCTCAGAGGTTGATAGATGGGCAGGGCGTGTTTCAAAAGTTTGTGACTCACCGCAAGACATTATGCCAGCTCGGGTGTAGATGTCTCAGTATGTCTACTTCTCTACCCACGGGGTCCTTAATGGGAAACGAGGTTAGTCCAGCTTGAGGGAGGTTGATGAGTAGCGCGGCTCGGTTGCCCTGAGAACAATGTTCCAGATTGCCGCTGTGTGCGTCTCCTCATCAGAGGACGCAGGAGGCTTCCTAATCTACTTTTATCCTCTTTTACAGTGCAACAGGGGTCTCGTAGTCACCTAAAAGAGGCATAAACTCTGATTGCGATGCTTGGAGCGGTAAAGGCTTATCGTAGACCAGTGCATGCACAGACTCACATGTTTAAATGGATACATCCAGGTCCCAAACTTCTGGGAAACAATTGTAGAAGGACTCATGGGAGGATCAGCACCGAAGCTCCGCCCACAAGTCCTCCCCTGATCAACGAATGTACAAAAGACCCCAGCTGACGTGAACACGGTACCTATGGGTGCCAGGAAACAGCTAGGCTGCCATTTACGTTTTCAACAAAGATCATGCTGTCCCATGAAGACACACGGTGGTGGAGTCACAGCAAGCTGATTGATGCAAGGCCTCGCAAAGAGGTTCTCTGGACGCGCTAGGGTCTACAAGGTGTCTTAACATGTAGGCGACGAGAGAAAACAATGCATGGGGTCAAGCAAACGAGAAGTGATGGAGTAGACAGGGGGAAACCTACGTGGCTCGTCATGATGCATGTATACTGATTGACGTCGTTTGAATTGGAGCTGCTCAGAGCCGCATGCGTGCACATTCACGACAAGCCGTAAACAATACAGTGAGTGGATTTATTGAAATGCAAAACCACCGAGTAAGAGGCAATGCTCAAGCCCCGAGGATGACTAAGGCGACACATGGACGGGCACTAAGTGCGCACCACAATGCTTACAGGGGAGGTACGCGAGCATCGTATATCACTTGTTCCATTTTCCTGTACCAGTTGGCAAAACAATTAGGCCCAAACTAGAGGAGATACTTGTTCAATATAAACACTAACCAGTCTTCGCGGGTTCTAATCTTTCTGGGGGCACAGAGGCAGTATTTCTGCCGAAGGTATTAGGATGGCTGCGTCATGTGTCGAACGTACTGATGTAGCTCGTGATAGTAAACCATCAGTCTGTGAGGGTCCCAGAGAGGCCGGTCGTCTACTCTCTTAACTTCCCCATTGGGCCCAAGAACCTCGACTCGCTCTTTTGGGGGGAACAAAGTGTGCTGCCAATACGTGGCCAGGGGTGTTGCAAAGAACTTGTAATCCATCACTGAGCCCACGGGCATGCAGCAGGAGCAAACTCAAGACACACGTACATTTAATACGCACACATACACGCATAAGGGCACACAAAGGCAAATGCCTCGAAGAGCGCCTCTCAGCTGCAAGAACACAACCGACATGTACAGCACTTGTAGTGTAGTACTATCATTCGCTTTTGCCCTTAAGCAGATACACTGGATCCCTACATGCGGTCTTTGCGCCTTCCGACTTTTGTGGCCAAAATTCAAGCTCTCCCTGCTTCGGATAAAACAGGGCATGGCGCAACAGGAAGTCCCTTAGCAGCTCTGTATCCTCATCAACCAGTTCGGTAATTTCATTTCCCAAGTTGCCCGTGTCTACGTTCTTTGTGCCTCTGCAGTACAGACACACCCAGTGCCACCAAAAGTTGCAAGGCATGAACACACATGTTTGGAAAACCATACATATATAGTGCAGTGGCACAGCTAACACCCCTGTTAGAAAGCGAAGTGCACTTGGAAGGGCGCCATGTACCGGAGAAATGTACGGAGGCGCGCCTCATCAAGAGCGCCCTCTTTGTCCAGAAGCAGATCAGCCGCAGTTCGAATGAAATCGGCCTTTGGAGCAAACAGCAAAACAGAAAATGCATAGTCGCAGACTGGTTCTGCTAACACGGCAGCGATACCCTCTCACAATGTGGAGGGCGGCCTGTGCCGGCCTCAAGCCACGCAAGTGAGCCTCTAAGAAACAATGCTACGCAGCATGCGAGGTAACAGCCCTTCGCAAAATTCGTAAAGCTTCAATGTCAAGCTCTGCGCTTAGCTTTCGTCCAATGGAAGCACTGCGAGAGCTAGTAACAAACGAGGATATCTGAGCTTCTAGGAAGGAGGGCTTAAGTGTGCTTCAAATAAATTATGGCTCAAGAAGCCTGCAACAAATCACCTGCTCCGTAAAGGCTGCGGGCTCAACCAGCAGAACCTTCTTGAGGGGAGAACACGTTTTGCCTGCAGCGGACATAGTGGGGATTAAAATGAGCAGAACGTATCAGGCGTGTGCTGGCGGAATGCGTGCAGATGCTATGACGTCACTCTAGTGGCAGAGAAAGGGGCCACCCTAAATCAGCTAGGAATAGGAGCTACCGTCTCGATTAGGCTCTGAACAAGTGCCATGCCGCAGAGATCGTGCTAGCAGCATCGCCCAGCCTTCGTCGAGGGGAAGGGCGTCGGTATCCCACTTCATTCCGAGCCATGCGATTCCTGGGCAACCAGCACGAGTATACACACTGCACCACACTAGTGGACAAACACTTCCCAAATCAGTAAGGCTGATGACAATGGTTCAAGGCAGCTGATGATGTTGCATGCAGTTCTTGCTGCTGCGGAAATTGATTCCTTGAACGAGGAATGCATTAAGCGCTTGTGCGAAAGTTGAGCCGACGTGGGGCCTGTTCGTTCAGTAGTGGTTTGGAGGCTTTCCGGGGGACAAGGTGCCGGCCTACCACCATTACCCCAGTAATAAAACGCGTTTGCAAGCTTCTCACAGCTTCCAGGATCGGATACTGCGTCATTCCAGGACAAACGAGGGTTATGCACTTTGACTTGTTAGGAAGCCAACCACGTGTGTTGCTGCCGCGAGTACCAAGGGCACACCAATCCAAGTTCTGCATGCATACTCTGCAGGGAGAACTGCGGGGGTTTGTGTAAAGTCTCACGCCGAACGCAGTATGGGGTGAAAGGCCAGCCGTGGTGCTGCGGTACCATAAACTCAATGGAGTTCCTACTACGGGTAGGGTATGTGTGCCTGGTAGAGCACACCGCAGTTTCAAACGCCTTCTGTGTCTTCAACTGGGAGGTGAAGGCTCCCACCGGGCAATGTGATAGAGTGCACTCCCATACCTTCTTTCTGGCAGGTGCAGTAGGGACGGACGAGCCAAAGGGAAGAGCCAGCACACCTACCCGTCTTGGAGATCCTCGTGAATAGCCATTGGCCAGTTGAGTTCCTTTGGCATGTTTTCTAAGAAAGCCACAATGTTTCAGCAGCAAAAGGAAATACAAGTAAGCAGATGTGGGAAACAAAATGGTTTAAAAGACTTTAAAGGGCCGAGGGCTACTGCATACCAGGGCGGAATATAGGCGGGACCCCTTGATCTTTCTCGTAAGGAGTGGTGTCGTAGATTTGATGCATTTTGGAGACAACAGCATCGTCCTCCGTGCTAGTCGACGAATGTTCCGCAGTGATTGAAAAAACAGAGTTAAGCAGAGCCTTTATTCTCCCTTCACCTAAAGATCGCAATCAAATTCCAGGCGAGAGGGTCGTGGAAGGGGCCCTACGGTTGTTTCTAAGGGCATCCACCCTTTGAAAAGTGTAATACGCCGGCAGCAGGATAGGATGATTGGCAAGGCCAAGCCAGTAAGATAGCCACACAGCATGAGCTAAAGTAGTGTCTGCAATGCGGTTATCGAAGATATGAGGACTGAGCATACCCGAAATGCCGCCAGTGAGGATTAAAGCCTTGCCTCTCACAGAAAGAAAGTCGACAGTCAACCAATAATACAGATCTCCCGATACGCCCAGGTCAGACCCTCTGGACACAAGCAATACAATTCAGCACTCTCGCTTTACGCAGGATCTATCCATTACATGCTGCTACCATCCGTCCAGGTGTGTACTACCGGTAGGATGCAGAGGGGTCTGTATTTCTATGCATAGCCACGATTCACGCAGTTTCTATCGAGTTTTGCAAAGGTGATGGAGGGCGTACCGCACAAAGTCATTTGGAATGACGATCGCGTCAATAGGATTAGTGAGGTCTCGAATGGCCGACGCAATTAGATCAGCCTTCCAGGGCATGGTCACAAGTTCAAATCCTCCGTAAATCGGATTCTTGCTTATCAGCTCCAGTTGGTCCTGAGGAAAGATAGCAAAACGCCCAGTAATCAGAGCCTTGAAACATTCACGGTGGTATTTGCCAGCTGTAGGAGGAGACATGTGCTAGGGCAGTGCGTCGATATGCTGCCACTGATGCTCAGACAGCCTTCCAACCACTTCGGTGTATGGGCGCCGTACTCGCAGAGCGAAGCGAGTAAATACCTTCTCGAACATTGCCTTCCCTGGGCCCTGAGAAAATTCACCCCAAATCATGAGGTTTTCGCTCATGATTGCTTTAGGAGTAATGTCGCAAAGAGATACAACTGTGTGCTGTTCCCATACAGCTTGTCCCTATCTGACTACAACTCAGGCTTGCCTTTCGGTTGAGAAATCTGACTGCGTCATCCAGATGTCGCCTGGGCATGATGTTAAAGAGAGTCATAAATTTCCTAGGGCGTACAAGAAAGCGGAAAGCGTGACCGATGTTACGTGATGCCGTGAATTCTGGCCTTATAACAGTCTCCGTAAGCGCATGGTTCTCGGAAACAGGGTTTGTGTACAACAGCCGAGTATGATATTTATGGAACTGATGGAACAGGATGCAAAGCCACTAGATGGCTCTCTGTATAGAGCTATAGAAGACTTTATACGACCTTGTATTGTCGTGTATAGATGCGATTGGGGTGCGCGTATGCCTACCAGCGTGTTCGTGATAGATCTTGTGCGTTGTCTGGAGGGCAGAGCTCAGCAGCTCCATAAAAGTGTGTGGGGTAGGCTGTGGGGGAGCGCCGCTTTTCTTTGAGAATATCGTGGTTGCAGAGGGAAGACAAGGCCACACGGATAATTAGTGGCTCCTTCAGTACCTGGACAGTCAACAGGCGATGGTGTGTCGGTGCAGCCTCGCAGGTTAACCGGATCTGTTGGGCACACAGTACACAAGATTATTATGTGCGCCATCTTATTTAGCTAGCACCCATCGCATGCAGAAGCACCGTTGTAATCGAGCCCCACTTATGGAGGAGGCTCCAGCGTTAAGTTTGACTGACGCTCCACGGCGCAAGAATACAGATGCCATACTCTGCGGTCTGTCACTGCAATCCATTGTGTCCCGTCACTTAGATCTACTTCAAATGCGTCGGTCTCCATGGGCTTTTCCTGCAGAAATCCAAAAGGAACATTTGTGTCAGCCAGTCACATGCATCGAAACAAGGAGGTCTCCAGGAGACATTGCGTGTCTTAAGTCTCGTCTGGCATTTCCCCTCCGAAGCCTGTCCTCCAGAGGATATTTAAAAAGAAGCCCTGGGGCTTGCGAGAAGCGGCATGCGCCATCAATTAGTAATCGAGCCCTGCCTGAGGTCAGCCGGCCAGGCATCATACCAAAAGGGAAGTGCAAGTGTGAGTCCCTTCTGTCGGATGACCACTAAAATTGGTGAGGCGTTCCACGGCGTTTCGCTTGGCTGCACAGACGAATAACGGAGTTTACGCCGCAACCCATTGAGATGTACGTTTGTGTTGTGCGCCTCCTTTCAGGCATTAGGGGACGTTTGGCGTCTTAGGTCTCTCGGCCTGCACCTGCATTTGTATCGGCAGACAGAGTCTCAAGGATCAACTTCTGTCCCGCAGGGATATCCAGCGTTATGTATGGAGAGCCCCGCACAATGAAGGCTCTCATAGTCTGTACAGCGTAGCAGCAGATAAGCCCTCTCCTGCTTTCGTTTTAAAGCAGAGCATGCATCAGGAAGGCTTTAAGCAGACCAAAGGGGACTGCCTGCTCCCAGACATGCATCGTTTGAGAGTCTCCGAGAGTATGCCATAGACCGTTGCCCTTCTGTATTTGTGCCTGCATATTGCTGACACATAAATAAAGGCTGCCAGCCCAAAATTTTCATCAGCCGGAGCTCACCTGGACAACAACCCGCGTGGGATCGACCATTTCATTGTCGTCTTCGTGGAATCTTTGGATCTCCCAGACTTTTTCAAAACTAAGGGGTGAAGGATTCGCGATGTAGTGTCTCTTCACCTCATCTCCTGAGCACAGGACACCACCCTTCACGGAAAAAAGCTTTCTGATGCACTAGTAAGGCTGCGGCTCTCCTGGACGCTTGAACACGCCTGCATGGTGGATGAAATGCAGGCTAAGGGGAGAGGAGGGGAGGATGTATGGAAAGCCGTAGGGCCCAAAGAAACGCGTGCAGCACCGGCAGTAACCAGCACCAAGAGAGACACAAACAAAAGGCCATACCTGAATCTCGGAGGCGAATGCCAATAAAGAAACCAAAGCCCACAGGTCCTGCACTCTGTTGGAAGCCGAAGGACGCCCCAGTACTTGTGTGCTCGCCAACGAGCATGGGTCCCCTCACCTAAGAGAGCCGCACTCTGACTCCTGCATTTCTAAGAGCTCGCGTAAAGGTGAACGAGCGTGATATGGCAGAAGCATGAATTGAGGAACAAGAGCTCGGTGGCAAAATAGGGCTGAGCTAGGGAGATTCAGCCTCACAGTAAGCCCGGCGGTGTCTCCAACCAAATCTGTACGGCCTTTCGGTTTGGAGCGAACGGAGAGGAGATAGGGGCAGCTGTTGACGACATGCACCGGCCCGCTGCCTGCAGAGTTTCACAGTATGTGTCCACGCTCACGAAGTGCGCCCCGCCACTCCTCACTAGCGCTGAAGGTGAAGGAGAGGCCACAGAAAATCGAATGGCACAAAAACAAAATCCAAGGTGCTAATACACTGCTCACCGGGGGGAATCACAAAGGGTATCCACCAAGCGCTCGTGCTCAGCGGCTGCCTCGGCAAGCCGTCTGAGTCAATCAGCTTCGGGTCCCACAGTGACGGATCGAAAGCCAAACCTACGCGCAGCAAATGTGCAACGGTCGACTCCAAGGCATTCGAGCTCTTGTTGCTGGCTCTCAGAGACCTCGCCGCTCCGGCCTCCCTCCTGTGCCCCTTGCCCATGTCTCCCCCGCATCGCAGCATGCAATTCTAGCACCAGCCCGTGTCTACCCAGGTGCTTTTGCTACTCCTCTCCAATGCAAGCTTCAGGTGTCGTGCGCGAGGCACAATTGAGGTGGCGAGACTCCGCACCTCCGAGTCCGTCGCGGGCTCTGTGCACCGATTGAAGTCCTAAGTGCTCCGGGTCCAGCCAGTCAGTGCTGTCAGAAATAGGCACTCCGCCAAATAAATACAAGGAGCTGCTTTTTTTTGCAACCATGCCTGGAAAGGATCCCGCCATAGAGGCCTTCGCCAAGCTCTCAAGCGTCTCTAAACGCACCATCCCTGAGTGCACGCAAGGCGGAAAGTAGAAAGCCGGCCGTCAGATATATCCTTCACAACAGAAAATGCAAGCAGCGCGTGAAGCTTTGGGGCAGGAAGCGCACTGGAGGCTGCTGCGCAACCCAAGCTCGTTTGCCTATTCTCCTTCAAGGTGGAACCTATTTGCCTTTTCCTCCACTCAGCTTTCTTCCAAGTGATTTTCTGCCAGTGCGACTCTCCCCGAATCTTTAGGGCCCCCTGCTCTGTTCGGCGGCCGCTATGCCGCTTGTTGCACTATGCCCCAATGCTGGAGTAAGGGAGCCAGCGAGCGTCTTAGTGCTTAGAGGAGCTGCTTTTTCGACACTGCCTAAGGCTTTCTTTCAAAGGGAGGCCGCTTCGAAAGCTCATCAAGGTGCTTGAGACCTGTACGGAGGGGCCTTACCTGGAGGGGGTCTATTGACAGCTGTAAGAATGCCATGGATCAGAATAAGGACACAGATGCAGAGGATGGTTATTGAGCACTTGTTCCTTTGCAGCAGGGCCCCCAAGAGCGAGCGCCTGGGCTTTTTCCCCTTTGCAGAATTTTTTTCTGAGAAGGATCCATCTTCCTCTTGACTACTCTCACGGCTACGCCACCGCAGGCCTGTCTCCTCCCGGAGGGGGTAGGCTAGGTCGGGCTTTGTGGGGCCTTCTAGGTCTGTCATCGCCACTCCGAAGTGATTGACTGTAGAAGAAGAGGCACCTTGTAGTTGGTGCCTCGGTAGGTAGGGCACGCAGCTAGGAGTAAAGGCGACTCAACCAATACAGCAGACGAGGGTGCCCCCGGCAGGTGACCTCGCGGAGACATGGGGTATTAACCCAAGTACTGGAGGGCCAAGCCTCGAGCCGGCCACAAAAATGAAAGGCGATAAGGCACAGAAAGCTAGCAGGAAAGGAGGTGTGATCAAAGCGCTCTTCTGCGTCGCTGCAAAGCCGGTTGTCTCCCCGTACCTACAAGCCGTCTCTTGAGCCAAGGGCCTTCGTCTCGAAGTACGTCGAAACAACACCCAGCAGCCTTAGAATAATTGTAACGACGCATTACCAATGCACGAGATGTGGCAAACGTACACAGAAGCCGCCCCCGCCACACACATGCTCTCGGCAGAGGACACCTTTAACGGGGGGCCCTCTCTCTCCCACTGGATCCGTAGCAGCTGCGTGGCTTTTGCTGATCTAGGGCCTAAAACGCGCTTTACCTTTGAATAAACACATGAACTCAAGCTTTACCCCAAGGTATCTAAAGTCTGCTCATCGTTTCTCTATACATAGAGAAGACCTTCCCGCAGTGTCCACGAAGCATACTGCGCCTACCGGCAAGCCTGCTGCAGCTCTCCTTGTTAGTTAGACGATGCCTGCGGCACCTCTTTTTTGCCTTTACCTTGCGGCTTTCGCCGATCTTAGGCTCAATAGGGGCTTTTTGTGTGCATGCTGCCTCTCTAGTTGGCACTTTTTAAACACCAACCAACAGCGGCCGATACAGCGGTGAAACGGCAGTCAGCCCCCTAGTGGCCCCCTGGGTTGCCTTCTTGTTGGCGGGTCATTCCTGCTGTACATAGCTCCACGAATAGAAAAATTTGTCTGAATAAGACACTGACTGGCTCGATGAGTGCCCCTTACCCTCATGGGGCCTTTGGTTGTTTTCATTGGAAGTCCGACCAGATCGTAGCGCCTTCCTGAGATCCAGTGCGAAGGGCCTCTCTCTCTTCAGGGCACTCCAAATCCCTTCCCATATGGAGTTTTTGATGCAAGAATCAGCGGAATCCCGTAAGTGCTGCTCCGCTTCGCTTACCTCAGTCCTCCTGCCGTCATCTGTCTAGTCGGGCTGCCCCTTCGCTTTCGCGTTCTTCCTCTCCTCTCCCTCTGGCTGCATCAGTCCTCTCCCTCTGGCTGCATCAGTCCTCTCCCTCTGGCTGCATCAGTCCTCTCCCTCTGGCTGCATCAGTCCTCTCCCTCTGGCTGCATCAGTCCTTTCCCTCTGGCTGCATCAGTCCTCTCCCTCTGGCTGCATCAGTCCTCTCCCTCTGGCTGCATCAGTCCTCTCCCTTTGGCCTTCCCTACACTGAACGGATGTAATGGCCGTGTACAAGCGGCTCCTCCGTTTTCTCTAGCCCTCCATTTACAGCCCGTCACGCCACCCAAATGGTGCTGCTTCTTCCCTCCATCACGGGGTCTAAGACCCCGCAAGCAATCCAAGATACCGCAGCAGTTCCTGAGGGCAGGCTCTCAGTGAGGCCTCAAGGATCTCCCTGGGAGTGCCCCTTCGGCTCCCTTAAAGACGGAGGCAGCTGCGCCTGGTTCAGTCGGTTCTGTGGGGACGAAGGGGCATCAAGGATCGTCGAGGGGCCCCCACCTCGCGGCAGAGAGACTCCCTTGGCCTCCCATGGGGAGGGGGAGGAAGAGGAGGTCTTGAACCCCAGCAACATGATGCCAAACATCCCCAATACTGCCCATCTAGGACTAAGCACCAAACGCGAGCGCTCCTCGATCCCCAAAACTGGAGAAGGCAAAAGTGCGTAGGGCCCTTGTATCGTGTTTTTTGCTTCCTCGCAGTGGCCTCTGCTGCAAGCGTGTTGCCGTTGCTTGCATTTTTCGTGCTTGTGCTCGTGCAGCTTGGGTGTATCCCTCAAGCGCACAGTTTTTTAGGGCCTTACAGCGCAGAGGAAAAGAGGCCGAAAAGGAGACGATGCCTGCAGTGGTGCACGTCCACAATTTCGTGAACGAGGAGACATGGCAGAGAATCACGACCTTGGAGCAGAATCATCCGTAATCCCCCTACAACCCTAAATCACGGGCTTCCCCAATGTGTCTCGCGTGCGGCACACCACGACGCATTGAGCAGTGCTCTCAGTAGTGTAGTGCCCTTTCTTCGCTATAGACTGACCGCGGGAAACTCCGCAGCCTTTAGGATTGGCTCCTGCATTTCCACTCGTTGTGCATGCGTGCTCTATTCCAGCGAATGCGCCCAAGTGACTCTGACGCGCTTCTGCGGCCGCTCCGATGATTTGACAGTCACGGCGAGAGTCATGAACCGCCTTGGCTGGTAAACTGGAAACACGGGAAAACGTTCACATGGGAAGGGTGAACAGGTCGTGGGGACCTTGTGCGTTCTGCCCAGCGCCACGTGAGCGTGCGAGGTCTGTATCTGGACCGGCGTTGTACTCTTGTGCTGCAGCGCGCTGCTGTGTAACTGCATCTCGAAGTGTCTCTATGCGTCGCTGCGACTTGCTTGCAGGTGGGGCCAGCTGTTCGACCGACACGACTGGTATTTAGACAGGTGTGGCCAGCAGGTCCGCTACATCATAGACTATTACGACGACCCGAAGGCGGAAAACATCGCAGAAGTAGGCTGCACTCCCACTCACGGTGTGGAAGAAGCGGGCGAGGGGGAAGGGGGAGTCTTCATAAGTCAAGCGTCGGGGTGCTTAGGGTGGGGAGTTTTAGTTGCAGCAGAGGCGATGGAGGGAGTGAGGCTCACGGCTTATGGATTAGGGCTTGCGGACGGGGGGGACGAGGGCATCAAGGGGGCAGGGAGCGAGCACACGTTTTTGCACCTGACCCCCAGCAGTGTAGACGGAAGCCGCAGCAACCCTTACGCTGGCCCCTCCAGCGGCAGGAAAAGAAGAATGCAGAATGGTGGAGCGTTTTTTTATCTTCGTTTATCAGCTGCCTGTTCATGAGGGATGGTCTGCTGGGCACACATGCGGGTTCTCAGGTGTACATACACGCCAGGCCGGCACCCTTTGACTCCCTGGAGAACTTTAGGGATATGCTGACGCATACTGTGCAAGCCCTTTGGAGAGGCGAACGGCCTTAGGTGCCCTCCGCTGCCGCATGATCCGCAGGTTTTATTGCTTTGTACGAATGGTGCTCTCTGAAGCTTTTTGGCCTACTCGGCACTCGCTGTTATATCAGCTGCATCAGCAGACTGAAGCTGCTGCTGGTACCTAAGTGCGAACGGCAGGAGTCCTCTTCTAAGGAGGTGTCTGCCCTAACGTGCATTCCTGCTTTTATTGCTGCGGGTTATGCTCCAGGCAGGGGAGACTAAAATCAGAGTCGGAACTGCATGTTGTTTTCAAGTGTGTCCCAATACTCCAACTTATTCGTTACCCTGTGCAAGAACACTTTCCTCCCACACAACGCAGTGCAACGCCTCAGAAGGCGCTGCGGAACTGCTGCTGCGCACGCTGCTGTTGCAGCGATCCCCCTTCCCCCCCCCCCCCAAAAAAGGGCTTGTCAAATTGGACGGAAATCCTTTTTCTAAAGTTTGAAAACAAAAAATGGCAGTGTGCGTGCAGCAGCAGCAGTGCTGGCCGCTGCTGTTGTTTGTGTTGTTGCATTTGTTGCCGTTGCTGCTGCTGCTGCTTAAGGAGGAGCTGGCTGGGTGCCGGCCAGAGCCGCGAGGAAGTCTTGGCTCCATGCTCTGCTGAGAGCAGGCATATCGGTTTCTCTGGGATTGAGGTGAGGAGTATCTGTTCCTTCCCCCGCAAGATCCAGTCCGTAGGCCCCTTCGTCTGCATAGGAAAGCAGTCCAGAACGCACCCGATCAGCCGCTGTTTGCGCATGCTCGCTGATCTGATGAGGGGGAGGACAGCAGAAGAGAGGCGAAGCGCTCGGGGAACGGTAGCACACGGAGGAAGAGAGGATGCGGCTCACAATGCATCGAGAGACTGCTCCCTTGACGAGAGAGATTCGCAGTGGAGGGGTCCTCATAGCCTTCGATGGGACCGTATATGCGAACCTGCAGAGCAACGCGCAGAGACAGAGAGGGGCCTTGCGCTGAGTCCACGTGTGCAAGGAGTAGACAACTGTCTCTTGTTGCCGCGAGACAGCCGCAGCCACCCCACGCTGATCGCCAGATGGACTCTCCAAGGCTATCTATTTCCTAGAAAGTCGTGGAACGCGACTCCTCCTTGGGCCCTACACTCTTGCCTCCTTACTGGACACGAGATTTTCTAGTGCCCTCTCAATCGAAAGCCTCGCGAACCTGTCTAATGTGAGTATCGCGACCTTGCTGGTGGGTTGTAAGCACCGCAATCTGCAGGCAGGCTGCGCGGAGGTATTCGCTTGTTTCTACACCGTGCAGCACCAAGTCGAGGGCTTCCTGTGAGTGGTTCTCGAGGCCGTTGACGAGCTGCGACGTGGAAGGCAGCGATAGTCGTGGGAGGGGCTTTTGGGGGTGCCACATAGGGTGCAGCAGCATGCGCGGAGGGAGCAAGGCACAGTACATCTTACAGAAGCCGTAGCATAGTGGGAAAGAAGAAGGAGAGTGGATGCTTCGAGAGGAGAGAACTTTTTCCTTGCGGTGTCGAGGCTTGCTCGGCTTCGCTAGCTCGACTTCCTTCAGAAGTACCTTGATGGCGTGGGCCGCTGTCAACTCGATGCCCCACCAGCAGTTTTGGTCATCAGTCACGACGAATTCCACGTCTCTGACGACGGATAAGGTCGCGGGGGAGGAGCCTTTGAACACAGAACGCATGCAGGCTGTCTCTGCAACGCCTCTGGAGGTGTTGGGGCACGTCCTCACACCTGGTCGCTAGCGGTAAGCGCTTGAGTTGTGCGTTGGGGGTAGGCATGAGTGAGGGAATGGAAGCTCCTCGTATTCTGAGAGCAAGAAAGCCGCCCCCTTTTCATATCTTGGAAGCGTGTCGCAGAAAGAGGGTAGTCGTGCTTCCTTCCGGGCATGCACGGGCCTTGCTCCTCCAACATAAAGTGCCAATCACGCGGAGAGACGGCCACATGAGGGGAACGTAGGAGAAAGCAGAAGGGAGAAGGGGGATATAGGAGAAAGTAGAAGGGAGAAGGGGGACGTAGGAGAAAGTAGAAGGGAGAAGGGAGACATAGGAGAAAGTAGAAGGGAGATATAGGAGAAAGTAGAATAGGGATTTAGGAGAAAGTAGAAGGGGGATATAGGAGAAAGTAGAAGGGGGATTTAGGAGAAAGTAGAAGGGGGATATAGGAGAAAGTAGAAGGGGCATTTAGGAGAAAGTAGAAGGGAGAAGGGGGATATAGGAGAAAGTAGAATAGGGATTTAGGAGAAAGTAGAAGGGGGATATAGGAGAAAGTAGAAGGGAGAAGGGAGACATAGGAGAAAGCAGAAGGGAGGGGAGGGCTGTCTGTTGCTGCGTAGTGTGTAGTGTGTGCCGGGAGGCGGGAGCCTCTGGTGGAGAAATAGTAGAGAAAAAAAGGGGATGTGTCGTGTGTCATGCATGCATGCATGCAATGTGCCTTAATATGTTGGGGATGCCGTCGTACCCATCTTGATCTGTATGCGTTTGGGAGTGTAACTTTCATCCAAGTGGAAGTTGACAAGCAGATCCACTCGCGTGACAGGCATCTCCCTGTTGAATTGCAGGGTTACAGTGTGCGGTGCTTGCCCCTCTGACTGCCAAAAGCTGATGCTGCTGTTGTCTCGAAGTGCCTGGACGCCGTTTCCTAGGACGAACACATCGCACACTCCTGTTGGCAAATACCATAGACTCGTATGCCAAATGATCGCTTGCACGGATGATACCCCAGGGGCGAGGCAGCTTAGCGAGAGGCTTCACACGACATGTGGCTTGAGACGCCCTAAGGGCCTTACCCGATTTCCTAAGAGCTGCCAGAGAGACAGATAGATAGATAGATAGATAGATAGATAGATACAGAGAGAGTGAGAGGATTCTCTCTAGACAGGAAGCGGCCCACCTTCTTTAGCGGAGCTAAGCGTCCACGAGGCTAGCCCCCCGATTTCCCTCCAGCTGCGTTTGAGCTCTAGGGTAAAGGGTAAATCCACGTCGCAAAAGAAGAGGGGATACTGTAGCATCAAAATGGAAACTGGAAGACCCTCTGTTTCCTTGCTGGTGCTGCTGCTGCTCGTGTGCAAGGCTGGAAGTGGAGAGCTCGTCGAAGTGGTCCGAGACGTCCGTAGAGCGCTGGGCTGGTTAAGGGGGCCCTCTGGAGGGCCCCCTAGAGTCTGAGACTCTTGCGCGATTTGTCGGGGTTCGCAGGAAGTGCAGCAACAGGAAAAGGAGGACAGGGCATCTCCTCCTGGCTGCGTGCGAGGGTGGGCGTCCACTAGATCCGATGGAGACGCGAATTCATCGTCTGAGGCAAACCGGGGGTCACCCCATTCGCTTTCTTCCATGATAATGAGGACAAACCGCCTCGGGGAGGCTATACGCCGGAGGGGAAGACGTATGTCCTGGAGTGTCTGGACACCACGCAAAGGGGCAGGGCAATCAGGAATCTTACAAGAAGAAGCACCAACCAAAGGGAGAGCAGGGAAATTTCAGAAACTAAGCAGGAAATAGCTACGTAAACCCTTCCTTGGAGGCGCTTGTAGTACACCGCAGGGATCTTGCGCATGCATTCAGGCAAAAAATGCGGCAAATATTACAGGCGCTGGGGTATTTGTTCCTGTTTGGAGGCTTCAGTGGCATGTCCTAACGTGTGTACCCCTAAAATCGCTGCAGGGGGTCTGTGGGTGGGTGGGTGTTAGAAGCAAGCAGGGGATCCTTGGGCACCAGCGAGAGGGGGGCCCCGGGGCCCCCCTCTCGCCAGTACCCATGCCCCAACGTTGACAAGTGCAGCTCTACACTTCACTGCAATTCCATGAGACGGAGGAATGAGCTATTTCGAAAGCTGTCTCTTCATGCTGCTGCCGGGGGTGCACAACCTCCGGCTCCTCCTTGCTTAGCCCCTCGGTTCATTCCTTATGGTCCACGATCTGTCCTGCTGTGCATTCTTCGGCTGTTTTTGCGCTGCTCAGCCCCTGTATTGCTGCATTATCCACGTGAGGAACAACCTCACTGTCTCCTGTAGCTCCGAGAGACCCTCGAATGCGCAGAGAGTATCCAGGGTGCGCCGTGTGCTAACGGCCCCTACTCCGCTTTGACACGGTGCGATATACCTGCAACCATTCTTTTTCTCTGTCTTCTCCGGGACCCTTTCTTATTCTACGGGGGTGTTGCTGCAGCTTCCGACGGCCCTCTTCTTCTTGGGTAGCCCCTTCCAGCCGACCCTTGAGCGCTCCGCCTCCCCATCCGTTGGTGCCGCCTTTCCCTAGAATATCTCGCCTGCCTCTCCATCTCTCTTCTGCCGAGGAAAACAGGCCTTTTTCACCCCAGCTTTCGCCACATGCGCCCTCTCTGCTCGTTTTCTCCGCCATGACTCGCCGCTGGGATGTACGCCCTTCCGCATGCAGCGGAGGAGGCTCACCAGGAGTCTCCTTGGAGCTTCCACTCCACACGCCGCGGTCTGTGGGAGCCTCGTTGGAGTGTAGTAGTGCTACTGACAGCGCAGGTGTGCGATACAGCCATGCTTACACTCTACGCGACTCGAATATGCGGACCAACGGATTGTGCTTCTCCTCAGATGGCTCCTTGTTGTTTGTAGCTAGCTGGGACTGTTCACTGCACATACACGACCTCAGACGGGGTGTGTCTATAAGGTCTTTGCACGCGCACAGACACGGCATTGAGAGCGTCTACATCTTGCCCAGCAGCAACCACCTCTGCCTGTGTCCCTCCAAGCTGCAGGGGCCCCCGCACCCGGCGAAGCAGAGCAAGCAGCCGTCCGGAGGGGGGCCCCCAACGGCAGGCAGACCAGCGGATGCGGGGGGACGGCTGCAGCATGCAGAGGTGGGCGGCGGGGGCCCACAGGGGCCCCCACTCCCCTTCATTAATCGAGGGGGAGGCCATACGTACAATCTGCGGCTGTGGGATTTGAGAGAGAACCGATATGTGAAGGTCCTTCCGGTGTCTGCTCGGGTAATCCCAGGGACCGGGGTGTCTGTACACCCCAAGAAAAGCACGTTTTTTTGCTGCACGGATGACGGATGGATCAAGTATTTCTGCACCGAGAAGGAGATGTATCTCTGGAAGAGGCAGGCGAACACGCGGAGGCCTCTCGCAACCATCGAAGGCGAAGGGAACGTGGGGGCTCTCTACGAGGGAGAGGGGCTGGTCTCTTTATGGGATCTTAACCGCCTCACCGAACCCTTCCTTAGATTCAAAATCTCGCAGTATCTCATGCAGCAAAAGCCCAAGCAACAGCAAGAGACACCGACTTCTCTCTCCTTCTCGCCTGATGGCGCCTGGCTGCTCATAGGCACTGACAAGGGCCGTTTACTCGCACTCAGTGCCTTCACCGGGGAACTCGCAGCTGTATGGGTACCTCCAAAGGGATCCTCCACGGAAAACTCCTCCTTTTGGGGGCGAGAGCTCGACAAGGCGGGAGCTTTCCTCATAGAGGCGTTCATGGGAGACCTTAGCCAAAGAGACGAGCTCTCCCCTGGCAGCAGCGTGTCCACTGAAGGATTCATTCATGCGGTAGACATTCACTCAGACGTGCTGCTGTACGGCAACAGAGATGGCTGGGTGTACGGGTACGACCTTACGCAAGCCCTAAAGGGTGCAGCAGCATCCCAGGGTTACCAGAAGGGATCCGCAGAGGGGGAGGAGCATGCAAGGCGCTGCTCTACTTGCGGAGGCAGGCAAAGGAGAGGATGTTCACCTTTTATGGAATATTCGGGGGCTTCGTCCGCAGATGCAAGGGCCATGGAATGCTGTTGCGATATAACGCATAAGCACAGGGTTGCCCTGGGGCCCCACTGGGGGGCCCCTTTGTGGGTAGCGTGCAATCCGAAACATGAGGTAGTGGCTACTGCCGGCCTTAACTGTTCTGTGTGGAAAGCCTCGGTTAGATGAGAGGGGGGCTTCCAAGCAGCAGCGGCATCTGCAACAGACCCGCGCTTGCAAGGGTTGGCAGGCGTGCAAAACACACCCCGAGGCTGCCTCTACGCACTGCTTAAAGGCAACTTTCGAGAGGTCATGGGAGCAGGTAGAAAGTAAGGCATTTATGGACGTATTTTATGCACAGAAAAGCTGGGGGCATCGGGAGAGTGCTTCCGAAGGGAGGAGGAGGTAGCAGCGAGACACGCAGTGACCTAACCAGTTCTAGGGTTGTCGCTCTTGCGAAGCTTCCTCCAGAGTGCAAGCTTTCACTGAGTGCGTACAGTTAGTGGTGCAGGGCTACTTCCTTTCTTGAATACGCTCCTGCTTTTGTGCTGTGCTACCTGACAGCGAGAGTAGGCTAACCGAGCGATTCATAACCTCCGAGTCTTTTTTAGCGCAGCAGGGCCCAAACTCTGCTCATTGTAGACATGTGCAGAAACCCCATAGAAGGACCGTACGAGTCTGGAATGAGCTCATTCCTAAGAGCAGGAGACATCCTAGAGGCCACCCGCCAGCACGGTTCAGCCGCCAACTAGTTACATCGACGTGGTCGAAGATTGCTTCAGTGTAGTGACGGTTACCGATAGGGTTGTCCGTGTTTCGCTTGCTCACGGCATGTTGTCGCTTGCTCATCGTGCCTTTCAAGTACACCAGGAGCGAACGCAGAGCGATCGTGCACAGGCAGGAGCACTCGAACACGTCTCGCTGCGCTTCTAGGCTTGTGCAGTGGCTGAAAACTTGATAGACAAGGTCTGATTAGGTGCAGTGCAGCGGCCATGGTAGGACTTACGGGGGCTTTCAGGGCCCCCTGCAGCAGAGGGCGCAGGTGAGGAGCGCTCGCATTAGCGTCGCATGGCGGCGCTAGAGTTCATGAAAATGTATTTCTGGAATAAATTGGTTTCGCTGTGTCGAGTTATTGGATGAATATCCCGCACAACTTGTACTTGAGGCTGCTTGCGGTTTGGAAGGTCGCCTGGCGGCAGTCAGTGTTTTCAAGGAACACCTGAGGCCCCGAAGCGCAGCTAAATTGATTCTTGGATTGTAGCCCGTGGATTCTCTCTCTTTTTATATATATTTTTAGTGAGTGTCTGTGTAGGGAGGGAAGCCGAATGGCTCTTTGGATCCGGGTAGATGTGCTGCCGTGTTTGCTGCGCTTCTGTGCGGGTTGTCGGTGCTCCTGCTCGCCCCTGTCCTTTTCCCCACTTGACTCTGTCCAACGGCTTCTACCCCGTGCAAAGGCCTCGTTGTCTGCACCAATGCGCGCGTAAGGAGGCCCCTAGTGCCCCGGTAACCCGGCAGTTGGGGGCCCTAAGAAACTGACGGGGGCCCCCAAAAGCCATGCTACGAAGCTTGGAGTGTAGTACTCTGGTGGTCGCAAAGACAAGGCCGCCTGTTGCTATCGAGATCGTGACTTATATGCCAAGGAATCATACTGCACCCAGGGGTCTGAGGTCTGCTGGTCGGGTGTCACCCCGGCCTTCAGGCTGCTGCCAAGGGGCCCCTGTGCGGCATCCCCGCAGACAGCACAGCAACCACGTTGCAGCATTGCGGTACAGGGGATCTTCGCAGGAAATGCCGTCCTCTGTCTTTACACTGGGGCTGCGGCAATCGCTCTCCACCCCTCCGTGGAACCTCCCCAGCGCCACACTCCCGCAGGGCCTCTCAGAAGAGCAGCAGCAGTGGCATAGCCTGCGACAGCACAGATGCCACGCTGAGTGTGTTTGTGACGCTCCTCCGAGGAATGCATTTGCACAGGGAGAGCGCAACGGTGGGCGCCTGCCGGGGAATTCGCGGAGGGCACTGTGGATGTGGCACTCTCAGCAGGCTCAGTGGCTCTGGCAGTGGCAGCAGGGGCCGGCCGGAAAGGCAGCACCAGCTCCTGAGACTGCCACTGGAGGTGAGTCGGCGCCTTTACTCCCTTTCTTAATGCACCGCCTGTACGCAGGCTCCTTGTGTTTGCACGACTGTAGTTGCAACCCTCCAGAAGCCGTCTAGAGGTGGCCTTTTGGGGGTGCCGCAGGAGCAGGAGCGCCCCGCCTACCGACGGGGTGTCAGGAAGAAGAGGCCGCTGCAGCAGCAGTGAGTGCAACAAGAAGGAGCGGCTATCCGATGGAGGCAGCGAAGCAGCGTGACGAGCTGCGGCAGCAGGAGCTGCTGCACAGTTGGCACCAGCAGCAGCAGCAGCAAGACAAGCAAAAAATGACTCGTGCCGCATACAGAAAGCCCGTAGAGAGTTTTATCAAAGGCTTCGGACGGCAGTGGCTGCCAGTAGGCGGAAAAAACCCCTGTGAGCTGTCTCCGACAAACCCTCGGCTGTCTCCCTCCCCATCGTATGCGGAGGAGGTAGGACTGCCTCCTGGAACCCCCCCCGCTAGTGGAAACTGGCGCATTATGTCCTTCAACATCCTCGCAGAGAGCCTTGTCGACGAGAAATACGTCAAACAAGTGAGTCTAGCCCCAGACGTGCAAGGCGAGGTGCCTCTGCGTGATTGCCCCCTCCCTGCTGCTGTTGCTGCCGTTCGTGGTTCAGGTTCTGGCTCACCTCTTGCCATTATGCATCTGTTCCGCCTCTCTTATAGCAGCCTCGATTATTGCCCCTAGTCTCTCTCTTTCTCTCTCGCGCGCGCGTGTCTAGTCTACCTCTGGGGGGACGAATCCTCGGCGGACTAGCATATGAGCGGTCTCTTCTTAGTGCGATTCATCGTCTGATCTACACGCGAGACTGCATGTGGAGACACGAGCCTCACGAGGAAGGCTGCAGGAAGCGTGTGCCTGTTTTATTCGGGGAAAGCCCCTCTCATGCTACCTTTGTGACTTTTGGATGGTGGTGCCTGCTGTTTTTGCCCCCCAGGATGCGCAGCTGCTAGCCTGGTCAAGGAGGGGATTTGCGGTTCTCAACGAGCTCCTGCTTCACCTGCCAGCCCTTATTTGTCTCCAGGAGGTCGAGGAGTGTCGTGTGGCTTCTTTCAACCAAGTCTGTCTCTGTCTGTGTGCCCCTCGAGGCGTAGATGTCGTGAGAGGTGTCGCGCAGTGTGCGTTTACCGCATTGTGCTGCCTGCAGGCTCAGCGGCCGCTGCAGCCGTAGTATGCCCTTTGCATGGCTCTAGGTGTTGCACTTGCTGCTTTTCTGCTGGGATGTGGCTGCTGCAGCAGTTAGGTCCTTACGGTTATCGTTCGGTTTACAAGCGTCTGACATCGAAGACGCGAAGTGATGGAACGGCTGTCTTCTGGCGCGAAGACGTTTTTCGTCTCGTGACTCACGCTGCGTGCGAATTCAACTTCAGGGATGGCAGGTCAGCGCTAGGTGCAGTTTCAGGAGCTGTTCTCGGCACCCCCGTTGCTCCTAAGCATTTTATTGTATTGCTTGTCTCCTGCCCCTCAGCTGCTCCTTTTTTGTCCTTGTTTGCCGTCGTTGACGTGCGTGTCTTGAGCTCCCTCCCTCGTAGTCTCTCTTCGTAGGTCTCTCTTCCGTTCCGCCGCGGGGTGTGGATGGTGGTGTCTAAGGGCATGACTCCTACGTTTCTCAGTGCTCTCTCCCCTTTCTTTCACCACTTTGACCCTTTCCTTTTTGCTGAGTGCGACTCCCTCCTCCCGGCATGCCCTTACGGGCGCTGCTAACCCCCCCTGCTGCCCACGCGCTCTCCGCTGTGCTGGTGCTCCGCTGCAGCATCATGGATAAGGACCAAGTGGCCCTCGTCGTGCTCTTGAGAGAACTGCCCAGGCAGCAGCATGGGCAGGAGCAGCACCTACAAATGCGGCAAGAGGAAGATCAGAGGGCAGTCAAACCCTCGCAGCAGCAGCAGCAGCGGCATGAGGTGGCAGCAGCGGGTCCCCGTTTCTTAGTGGCAGCCAACACGCATCTCATCTTCTCTCCCGCGCGAGGCGATGTAAAGCTATCGCAGCTGCTGTATTTTTTCAGATGTCTCCACGACATGCGGCTGCGGGGGATTCTGACTGCATACGAAGCCCTCACAAACACGGAAGGCTCTTTCTCCGTCTTGAGGGACGGTGCAGCCTCCGCCTCAGCGTCAACAGTCAGGAGGACGTACTCCAAGGCTGTTCCACATGCCCTTGGACGCTTGTCTGCACAGGGAGATCCTGGCACTGTAGGGGGAACTACTCACCCCTGGCCTCATCCTAAGACGTTAAGGTGCCCTGGAGCCGAGGCAAACTCCCTCAGGAATGCGCTAGTTGCATGGGCATCAGAGAAGGGCGAGCGCTACAGAGCAGAGGTTGAGGGCCTTAACGAACGAACACTAGAGGCTGCAGAGAGACTCGTACATGTTGTTGCATGCGGAGACTTCAACTTCACCCCTCAGAGTCCGTTTTACCATCTTGTGACTCGAGGCACCATGGATTTCAGCCGTCTTTCCAGGGAAAAACTCTCAGGTAGGGGCCACGCGCTTCCTGCCCCTTGCATTGATTGCTCACAGCAGCTTGCCCTACGTTTTCCCAGCAGAACAGCCACCTTGGACTGTCGAATTCTTAGTCTCCAATACCACAAAAGGCGGGTGTAACGCGTGCTGCTCGCCGCAGGGGGACCCTTTTTTTTTGTGCTTCTCAAAGATTTGAAACTGCGCTTCCACATTTGTCTCTTGTTCCCTGCCTATTCTTGCGCTTCTCTTCACTGGTCGTATCTGCCCGCCACGCGTCATTTTCACGCCTCATCATGTGCTCCCTCTCCACTGACCTTTGGCAAAGTTGTGCCCTCAAGCAGCGCTGCTGAGATGCGCGTTCGGCTATTCTCTGGCGGAGACACTTTCTGCACTGTGTCTCTTGTGTTCGACAAGAAGCGCTTGCTTGCATGTTTTACAGCCTTCAAGGCCTTTGGGGGTACTGCGCCCATCCGCCCATACATAATTGCCGGGCTGTGTCTGCACTTCTCTTGTTCACCTCTCACGCATGCCCTTCTCTGTATTTCACCGGCTATTTCGTCCTGCGCTTCCCATCTATTCGTACTGTGCGAATGCATGCCTATCATGTGACGGGCTTTCCGCGCGGCTCAAAGATTACCTCTTCTCAACCCCTGCACGCTGTGATTTTCTTCGCTCGCTTACAGGCCAGTTTCTGATGTCTTCTAAGATGTATCCCATCAGGTCCATGGGGCACTGCTTTGCAGGGGCCTCTGCAATGAAGTGAGCAGAAACCTTCATAACCTGCAGGCGTTTTTTGCTGCCCATGCTTCTTTCTGCATTTAAGTTTCGACGTTTCAACCTTGCTATTTGCACATCACCGCCTATATTCTACTTTCTCGCCCGCCATGCCCCCGTTTGTAAGTGTGTGTGCTTTTGTGTGTGTATTTGTATGTGTATTTGTGTGTGTATTTGTGTGTGCTTTTCTATGTGTATTTGTATGTGCCTTTGTATGTGTATTTGTATGTGCCTTTGTATGTGTATTTGTGTGTGTGTGTGTACTTGTGTGTGCTTTTCTACGTGTATTTGCGTGTGCATTTGTGTGTGCTTTTATGTGTGCTTTTCTACGTGTATTTGTATGTGTATTTGTGTGTGTATTTGTGTGTGCATTTGTGTGTGCTTTTCTACGTGTATTTGTGTGTGCATTTGTGTGTGCTTTTCTACGTGTATTTGTGTGTGTAAGGCCATTTTGGTGTTTCATGGGGTGTGCCTTTGGTTGCTTCTACAAATGTTGAGTCGCTTGCGTCTCGTAATATGTTGTTTAATGTTTCTCCACAGTGCCCCAGAGGCCTCGCGCCTCCTTACGCAAGTTCCTAAGGGGGTTGCTTCGAGCTGGGAAAAGTCTGTCAGGATGCTGTTTAGAGGGTCAGAGACAGGAGGAGCTGCGGCATCAAGGGTTGCCGCAGCAGCAGCAGCCGTTGACTCAGACAAAACAGAAACACGAATAGACAAACCCGCCTCAAGTCAGCAAGGGCAAAATCAGCAGCAGCACCAGCAGCCCTCCTCGAACAGGCAGGGGGGACAAGGCCTGCCTCTCGCCTCTTGCGCACTGGGAGTACCGAAACAAGAGGAGTCTTTCCTGGTGTCTCTGCCCTTCGCTCTGAAGAGTGCATACGCGATTCCCCCAACAACCCCACAGTCGAGATGGCAATCACAGAAAGGCTCAGGGGACGCTCCAAGCCTTTTTGAGGACAGCCAGAATCTAGAAAAAGAGGCCGCACCGTCCGTGACACCTGCAACCAACCCCCGGAGGAGCAGCAGCAAGAGCAGCAGCAGCAAGAGCAGCAGCAGCAAGGGCAGCAGCAGCAAGAGCAGCAGCAGCAAGAGCAGCAGCAGCAGCATTCCTATGGAAGAATTTCTAGAGGAGCCCGCATATACTGCATATCATGGCTGGCAGAAAGGCTGCATAGATTATATCTTCTTTAGCCCTGGCAATCTGAAAGTAAGCCACCCAACTTCGTCTGCACAGCTAGAAATGCCTGTCCGTGAAGCGTTGAGCCGAAGGGAAGGGGTGGCCTGTGTATTGAATTACGCTGCAACTGGTGTGCTCTGTTTTATCTTGTGTATTGTTTGTATTCTTTCGATGCGCGCCGCCTCTCCTGCTTCATCTTCACAGTCCCTCATTTTTCTGGTTCGGCGTGCTGCCCATGTGTAGGTCGCTCAAGTGTATCAGCTTCCCAGTTTGCTAAGCCAGGGATGCGTCGGCTCGTGTCCAAATCTGGTAAGGAATCATCATTGGTTCGACTTTTAGTCGCTAACATTCGACTTTTAGTCGCTGGTGGAGGTGCTGTTGAGTCTGCTGTGGCTGGAAGTGCCATTTCTGCTCGAACTGCTGTTGGTGCTAAGATTGCCCCCGCTGCTCAAAGTAACGGAGGGAGGGAGGGAGGGAAGGGAAGGGGGCAAATGCCGACTCTGAAATTGTGGATTGTTTCTCTGTGGATGTTATTCACAGCTGTGGCCAGCCTCAGATCACCTCTCCCTCGTTGTTGACCTCGTGCCTGCGAGAACTCCCTGCTACCAAGAGGAGCCTGCACACAGCCAGCCCTGTGTAGGAGAAGAGAGAAGAGAGTCGAATACTGCGAGGCATGCTGCAGACAAGTAATGTGATCACCTGGTAATGCGGTAGCGCGTGCAGGCTGTGCTTTCTCTTTGGCTAGCACCATCCAGGTAACAAACACTAGCTAGTATATATACATATATGTATAGGCGCGCAAACCTCCTTTCTGAAAGGCAACTTACTCGGCCGAATGGTAAGGGACAGCAAGCGGTATTTGTTTGAGGCCAGTGCTAGGGGTGTGACCCTGCGCAAGGCTTTAGTCCTTCAGTCCCTTCTTCTTTTCTACGGTGCATGTGAGTGCTCTGCGGCACCGGAGAGTCTCTCCTGTGACGCGCCAAGGAATAGGAACCAAATGTTGCAACACCCGTCTTGCAGCTCCTTTTGCTTATTGCCTAAGTTGGCGGTCCCTCTTGTTCCGGCGGCCGTCTACCTTTTTTCGTACGGATCGCTGTATTGAGCAATCTCTGATGTCGTCCAAAGATTTATGCTTCCTTTTCGTGCGGTACTGGGGCTGCTCTGAGAAGTACCCTTGATCAGAAGATCTGAGCCCTTCCGGACATGTGCGCACGGTCCGAGAGCTTAATTGCTACCAAATAAAAACACCAAAGATACTGGCCTTTATACAAATATACAGCAAAAGATCAGAGGCGGGTAGGCAGTGGGGGGCGTGGTACGAAAAATAGGCCTGGAGACCTCATCGCCTTTACAGCATGGAAGCAAACATCAAATGTTTCCTACGTACATGGCCCGCTGTCGGACGCTAATGGCGAACGCGGCCACGTGCAAGTGCGCAGCAAATCAAGCAACACCAAAATGCCTGAAAGTTTTCGTTTGGGGTTTCCTTCGGACTTGCCACTCACTCTTATTCAAATCGTATCTGCTTTGAACCGTCGCGGTGCCGAGGGTCGATGGTGCATATTTATTAATTTAGGGACATAACGCATTGATTCAGCAGCTTATGCACATATTGTTTGGAAGAAAAATCTGAACGGTCAGGGGGCTTGAAGAGCCCAGACACCCGAATCAGAGGCTGCTAACTTCTTGGTCCTTCTAAAAGCCTCCTAGACATTGCCTATCGTCCTTCTCCTATGCACTCTGTGGAAAACAATTAGCCCCTAAAGCAATTCAGAAATATACAGAGAGTCATGAACTATTGCTTTTAAGCCGCTCCCTTGCTCCTTGTCCGCCGCACTACTCATGGAGAATTTCATGCGGACAAGCAATCCGGTGTACGTGAGAGAAAACGCAGATATTCAAGGGACACAAACAGCGGATTTGTTGGCCCTGCGATTCCCTTTGTGACTACTGAACAGGGAAAGATATGCACGAAGTGCGCCAGGTGTCTTGGGGAACACGCGCACGTGGATCTAGCTTGGGATACACAGAATCACCGCCAAAGCCCATTTCGTTTCTCGTTTAAAAAGTATATAGGCACTCCTGCGTGCAGTCGAAGCAACTGTCTCCTGCCTCAGTTGCGTTCTACAAGGCGGGTGCCTCAGTCAAGCTGAACAGAAGGCAGGTGGTACGAAGGGAATCTAGCTATGAATGCAGAAGCCTAGGATCAATTGGAGAAAGAGAGAGAAAAGCAATGATTTATGGCACATAAACACCAAGATACACACACACGGACATATTTCCAGAAAGATGAGGACCGTACAATGTGTGCGAGCAGCGCCACATGCCAGTCGGCATCGGGAGGCCCTCCCCTCGGAAGGTCACTGAGACTCTGAATCTAAAGTAACAGCATAACAGGCGTCCAATGTTACAAAAGACAATTGAGGTTAAATAAAGCGCAGTATATTCCTAGTATATTCCTAGCAGAAAAGCTCCTCAAGTTTCTTCCCCTGCGCTGATGCGTTCGCTCCAGACTAACCCACCACACACGCTCTCAGAGGGGGCCCCTCGAGGAGCCAACCGTACACAACCCCACGGGGGGCCCTAATCAGCTGACTAGGACTCGAAGCATATCAGGAGATACGGTTTCTCAATTTTTCGTGGTGCCTCCAAGAGCATGCCGCTTGGTGTTTGTAGCTTCATGAATTCATGAGTATGTGCTGAGCAGGAGAGAGAGAGAGGGCAGCGTCTTTGGCCGGCTTGCAGCACACCACCATTGCTCTCGACGGGTGCTCTCTCTGTGAATGGCTCACATGAGGGCTCCCGTATGAGACAGATGGGCAGGGGCCTTCTGCTGGTGCTGCTGTTGGTGTTGCATGCCCCTTTCGCCAGCGCCATCTGTCGGGGATACCCCCTTCCCTCTGCCGTGCAGCCGCTTCCGCAGGGGAGTATACAGGAGATGAGGCGAGGAGACTCCCCTAGACGCACATGCATGCGAGATCTCCGTCCTTCCTTGAGAACGGCAGGGCCTCCTGCAGCCGCAGCTGCAGCGGCGGCGGCTTTCCTTCTTTTGCGTATTCCACAAGGCTTGCATGCGTTTGCAGGCAGCGCGTTCAGTCGACGCCTCGTCTCGTGCACTCCTCGTGCGGCCCCTCTAAGGGCCCAACGAGGGCCTCGAGGAGGGCTGGCTGTACCCCGTTTTGTCGACAGGGGCCCTTCGGATGAGGGGCCCCCTTTGTTTTCCCCGTGGCGCTTGGATGGCCCCTGTACGAGCTCCCCAAAGCACACCTCCGGGTACCTTTTCCCGACGCATACCAGCAGCAGCCGCAGGAGTTTTGGAGCAACAGCGAGCTGTTCAGGGGAAAGTACGACTAACCCCGAGGCAGAAAGCTCCGGGGGGGGGGCCCCCTCCTCAAGGCCAGGACCGTTCCGCTTGCACGACAGGAGAAGGAGCGCTCCTGCGTGCGAACAAGCACTGCCTGCGGCATGCGGAGAGCCATCGGCTCCGTCTGCACCATGCGACACAGCGCTGCCCTCTGGGGTAAGGGGGGGAGGAGGGGGGCCCCTGGACTCCCAGGGGCCCCTCCGTCGCTTTGTGGTCGTGGACGGCAGCTGCGTCATGTTTCGTTGTTATCATGCAATGCCAAGTCTTAAGAACAGAGACGGCGACAATGTTGGTGCAGTCATGGGATTCTTTAGGTCTCTTGTTCAGGTAATCGAGCCTCAAAACCTCAGGGGGGGTATTATTATGCAGGCATGCAGCCCTTGGGGGCCCCCACGAAGGGGTTCCAAGCGTCAAGGGCCCCCACGAAGGGGCCCCAAGCGTCAAGGGCCCCCATGTGGCCTCCCCACACACCTCCCCCCTTCCTCTCCCCCCTTGGAATATTATCTTTAGGCCATATGATATAGGGATGCACGACACACACACACACACACACACACACACACACACACACACACACACACACACAGCCTGTGTTTTCACCAGGCGTTTGGTGTGTGTGTGTGTGCAATGGCTGCAGATACGCCGTTTGCTGTCTCCGTCTCACCTCGCAGTAGTGTTTGACCATCCTACAGGCCGCTCTTCTCGACTGGCTATTAGCCATTCTTACAAGAGTCACAGAACACACCCGCCTCTCGAATTAACGGAGCAGATCCAGAAGGCCAAGCATCTTTGCGCTGCAATGGGTACGTAGGCGTACCTCTGCGGGGCATACAACCCCTCTGCGTACAGCACGCCATTTGTTGTGACTGCCTGCATGTCTGCATAGCTGCTTCCTCCGCTGCTGCTAGCGCCTCGGCCGCTGCTGATCTGCGCAGCTCTCTGTGTATTTTGGGGCCCCTGCCAGCGTGCGCTTTTTGCTTAGGGCTGTTGCCTCTGGAAGTCGAAGGCGTAGAGGGAGACGATGTCATTGCCACACTCGTCGATCGTCTCTGCACGGAAGTTTCTGAGCCTCAGCAGCAGCAGCAGGAAAGGAGAGAGTCTCCGGTGTTCGATGAAGTTGTTGTGGCAACTGTAGATAAGGATCTCTTGCAGGCGAGTCTGTCTGATGCCATGGTGACTCTTGTCTGCTGCGCTCTTGGCCCTCCATACGGTGCCTGCTGTGTCTCTTCTGTTACTCTCCCTGTAGCTGCTGCTGCTGCTGCATCGAATCGAGGTTTACTGCTGCTGTGTCTGCTCCTGCCGTTTCCGTTCGCGTCTGTTTCCTGAAGACCCCGTACTGCCGCCACTGGTGTGTTGCTGCTGCTGCACTCTGTGATGCGCTTTGAAGTAGACGCGGCTGCCTCCGCGCGGCTCTTGCGACTGTCTTCTAGTTGATGGTCGGCAGCTTCTTATGCATGTGTATCCCGAGTCGCTCTATGCTTTTTGCGGCAGTTGCTAAGGTACAATTACCAGTCGAAGGGGGGCACCCCCCGTGTGAGTCTGCTGGCTCTCCATCGCCAGTGCCGCCTCCTGGACCGCCAATTTGTTGAAGAGGAATACGGTAAGGGGCCTTGTGACTCACGCACTCCTACAGAGGAGGGAGGGAGGACAGACTCCCGAGCTTCTTTGTGAAATGAGGCGCAGCGTGGGAAGGTATAATACAAGGCAGCGCCTTGCGAGGGATGACGGCTTGCATGAGCAAGGCCAAGACAGGCCGCACTTGGGCGGAGTTTTTGTGCTTCGCCGTGGTGGAGGTAGGGGGAGGAGTGTGTGTTGCTCAAACTGCGCCGTGCAACTTTTGAGGTGTTTTGTGGAGCCTTACAAACGGCAGCTGCGCGGGCAGGAGCTATATCCGCGTAGCTGCGCATGCCCCAGTGCCTACGAAGCCCGTGAAAGTTCTCCTCCATTTTTTCAGCATTATTCAGCTGAGGAGAACCCTGCTGGCTGACGCGTAGTTGCGCCCAAATTTATGTGTGCATGCCAATTCTAGGGGTCTTCGCATGTGCATACCCATTCGCATCCATGTATATATATATATGCATGCAGACAGGTGGATATCCACTTCTACATACCTCTGACGCAATGCTGCTTTTCTTTGAATATCATCCCTACGTTGCGCAGCGCTCCTCTTTTCTGTGTCTCTTGGTGAAGGATGCGAGTCGCTGTTCACTGTTCTTGGTGCAGCTGCGTGTCTTGCCTTGCCAGGCGTGGATCCCCATCAGCTTCTTGACTTTTTTTCGCTTGTTGGAGATCGTGCTGATGGAATTGTCGGCTGTCGTGGAATCGGCGTCGCTGCGGCTAAGAAGGTTCTTCGGGCAGTTGAGAGTCTTGAGGTTAGCCACTCTGTTTTTTGGCTGCCTTGGCGCGCCGAGTGACAGTGCACACACGCACACACAGGGATGGCGTAGATTCAACGTAACAGGGGAACAGGCTGATCGCCTGTGAGTGAGGGATTTTGATGGTGCTGGACCCCAGGAGTGTGGTGCTCTATAGGCGTATAAACGTTCCATGAAGGTTTATGCAGAGAGTTGCAGAAGCGCGCATGCACTTTAGCTAAAGAGGCCCCTTGCGTGACAGCAGGGCAAGAAGATGAGGCATAGCAGAAAGAGAAAGGGGCGCCACACTGGATTTTAAAGTCTGAGAAGGCGTGCATGATGTGCAGTGTCGAGACACACTAACGAGTGGTGGTGGGGTTGCCCCACTTGACACGTTTGAATATTTAGTGTGTGTGCGTACTTGAAAGATGCGTGTACACGGAGCTGCGTGCATGCATTTAGATGCTCAAAGTGCGAGTTATGAGCTCCAGCCACGCATGGTAATCTGCGTAGGTTACAAGCTGCCCTCAAGTGGCGTGCCGTGGCTGCTTCAGTTGGCATGTTTACATCGTGGCGGTGCATGTGTTTCCTGTCCCTCCTTTTATCGCTTCTTCTCTCTCGCCGTGTCATGCCCTCCCTCGCTCAGGCTCTCCATGCGTCTCCTGAGAAGCTCAAAAAGGCCTCTTTAAGACCCAGTCAGATGGCTGCCCTGAAGGAATTTCTCCCGCAGTGGTGCACAAACCGCCGTCTTGTCGCCTTGGATTGCGGAGTTATACCCGCCAGGAGCCGTAGCCTCACTTCCTTCGAGCTCACGCCTGTGGACCCTGGTGATCTTAAGCAGATGTTTGCCGCGTACAACCTGTCCAAGCAGGCAGATCTGGTAAGCGGGGTGTATGGTGGGGTGTATGGTGTACGTGTATGTATGTATGTATGTATGTGTATAAGTATATATGTATGTGTATAAGTATGTATGTGTATGTATGTGTATATGTAAGTATGTATGTATGTATGTATGTATGTATGTGTATGTATGTGTATAAGTATGTATGTGTATGTATGTGCATAAGTATATATGTATGTGTATATGTGTATGTATGTACGTGTATATGTGTGGCTTACGGAAAGAGGAGCAGTGCAATCCGTCTGCCAAAGGGGGGGGAGGGAAAGGGACGCCTGCGAGCCGACTTTGCACACGGAAACATCTATTCTCTCCTTACCCAAGGGGCCTCTCAAAAACAAAACAACCCTTTCCACCAGTCCAGTGTTTCTTGGCGCTGCCATGCATAGCTGTGGCGTAGCTCACCGTTCCCCCAATTGCTTTTGCTGATTGCTGCAGTGGATACAGGCTGGGAACGCTGCAGCTTTTTCCGCGGGAGGCTCTGCAGCCAGCGGAGCACATGGAGAAATCCCCTCCCCCGAGGCAGCAGCTAAAAGCCAGCCCTACGCAGGATTCTCTGGAGCAGCTGTTTCATCGGAAGCAGCAGCGTCGCTAGCAGTCGTGTCTGCATCGGCAGCAGCAAAGACATCCCCGGCACCTGCCGAGGGCACCCATGCAGCAGACTGGCAAGGCGGTGATGCAACAGGAGACACAGCGGCGGAAGGACTGAGCGACGAAGGAGGAGTCGATACAGCAGCAGCAGCGGCTGCCACAACAGGGGAGGCGGAAGGCGTTCCTGCAGCATGGATCGGCAACTATGGAAATTCAGAGACTGCTGTGTCGCAGGCGCATGCACCGGAGGCTCCCGGGGTTGTGCTCTGTGGGGTACACTTGTCGGCGGCTCCGCAGTCTCTTCTGCCGTTTCGCACGGACGCCTCTCGCGCGGATGCTGCGTCGTTCGCAGTAGGAACAGGTTCCACTCCAGCGCTTCCAGGAGCTCCTTCCGGCAGAGCAGCCGCAGAAGGTGCAGCACAAAACGCTGCGTGGAGGCAGAGCGAAGCCAGTCCTCCCCGAGGATCTTTTGCAGCCTCTCTTCTGTCCTTTTGGCCAGTGCTGACGACGCCTTGGCTGCTGCTGCCTGGGGTGTATGGTGCGCAGGTGCCTCACCGGAAGGTGCTGCCTCTGAGCCTATCTAGAGCCGATGAGAAATCTTTTTCCCTGCTCCTGAACCGTCATGCCTTCTCGCAGCGTCGCCTTCTGTTTCATCGAGCAGCAGCGCCGTCCAACTCCGTGATCGGAGTCGCCGGCTGTGTTTACTCCGCTGCTGAGAAAGCCTCAACGGCTGCAGCAGCCAGTCCGTCCCTGCAGGCTCCTTTCGCCTCTTTGCTGCCCGGAAGCAGCGACGGTTCGCATGCGCTCGATAGCGCGAGGCTTCAAGATCCGCTGCCATTCGCCTTCGACCATGAGGGAGAGCTCCTGAGGAACGGCGATGGGCAAGGGAGCAACAAGCCGGCAGCTCCTGGAGACTCCGCTTCTGGATCTGCGGCAGCGCGACGTGCTGATTCTGACGGGGAAGCAGACTGCAACATGCAAGTCCGCTTATTTTGCCTGCAAGAACGACCCCACATGGAAGCGGTGCAGCAGCACATGCGACAGCAAATGCAGGCAGCAGTCCATGTCGCAGCAGCAGCAGATGCGGGAGCGGCAGCAGCAGCGGCCACCCTTAAGGCAGCAACCATTCGTGCATCTCGAAAATCCACTCGGCGCTCTGCTGATGCTGCATCTGCTGATGCTGCATCTGCTGCTGCTGATGCTACTGCTGCTACTGATGCTGCTGCTGCATCTGCTGAGTTTCTTCTTGGTTCTGATGCGGAAGTTACTGGCTCTTGCAACGGAGATACAGCCACGAAAACACGGGCAGCGAGCTCTCAAGTCGTGTTCTCCCGGGAAGAAACAGGAGTTTTACCCTTGCTGCCCCCCATTGAATGTCAAGGCTCAATGGCATCCCCTTCACCCCTGCAGCAAGCTCAGGCTTTTCACAGCACTATCGTTTTGTGTTTACGGTATCTTGCCGTCCTGCAACAGTTCGAAGGCAGGCGCTGCTGCGACTCCCCATTCGAGGCAGCCGCGGGGGTTACTCTCGGAGGCTTGCTACGCCAGATCCCCGAGCCTGTTCCCATGGACCCTCTGGAGATGTCTCTCTCCATAGTGGCGAAAAGCGCAGCGACTCAAAGCACCCCCGACGTCGTGAAAATAAGCCACACATGCCTCGAGGGAGGCAGCAAGGCACGCAACAGACCTGACACAGGTGCTCCGTTGCTTCCCATCTCCGTAGCCTGGCTGGCATCGAGCCCTCTAGGAACCCATGCGCCTGCCAGCGCATTGTGCCCCCTTCACCTTTCTTTCAGCATCCACCTCCCCCCCGGACTGTCACGGCTTCTCGCTGACGAACTGCCGCAGCAGACACCGCTGCAGCAGCCACCGCTGCAGCAGACACCGCTGCAGCAGCCACAGCAGGCCGTGCTGGATATCCTGCACTTTCACTTTCCCGTTTCGCTGCTGCTCAGAGATTCTGCAGCCTTCCAGATGCTGCGTGACTGCTTGAGGATGAGCGGCCTGCCTCCCGCCAACTCCGGTTCCTCCGATCGGCTCAAGACGGATGACGCCGAGACGGCTCCGCCTCGGAGTCTCAGTGCGACGACTCCGAACGCTCACAGCCCTCGAATTCTTTGGGCAGCACACAATGCAAAACAACTGCTACACTTGCTGCTCAACATAGGCCTTGTGCCCCCCGCGAACCGCCAGCTGCACTGCACGTCTGTTTTGTCGTGGCTGCTGCACGGCGCCAATAGCAGAAACTCCGACTTGCTGCAGCATGCCGTGCTGTATGAGCTCCTGCAGCAGCGAAAGCGACAGCAACTAGACGCGCCTGCGACTGCGGGAGAAAGACCAGCGGAACCAGTGCAGCTAGACACCCCCGATCTCTCCGCTTGCTGCGACGGGCATACAGCAGCTGCAGGGGTCCCTCCACACGCGGGTGAAAATTCCACGACTTCAGCTGCTCCAAGAGGAGGAGCACCACAAGTACAATCGCGCGGCGATGCAAACCTCCCCAAAGACGAGAGCTCGCTGCTCCTGCCCCTTCTGGCCTCGCCATACGCTTCCACTATCGTCGAAACCATGACAACAGCGGCGAGAAGCATTGCCGATCTCGCTTCGAAAGGGCATCGCGGTTATCGCCAGCAGAAGTCGCGGGAGGATCCTGAGGCTCCTGCTCGGGCACTGAAGGGCAGCACGCGCCGTTCGCAGCGCAGTAGTGTGCTTCCACCGTGGCACTGTTTTCCGTTGGCAAGGAATGCGTTGCTGCCGCCTGAGCAGCAGCAGCTGCAGCAAGGCCTCTTTGGCAGGTTTGGATGGGGGATTTACGCCAAGATGCCTCAGAAGAAGGCACAACGCGATACAGGCCCGAAGGACTGCGGCTCAACGCGCCTACCCGACAGCGCCGCAGGAGAAGGAGGAGGAGCAGCAGCAGCGACAGCGCGCCTGCGGCTGAGCTTCCAGCCGGTTGTCGCTCCCAGTCCAGAGCCTTTTTCATTCGCATCAGGCACCACGCAAGACGGCACTCGGCGAACGAACGAAACCGTTGAGCAGCAGCAGCACACCTCTGCTGGGCTGCGCAGTCGATCCAGAGGACTCGCTGTTCGCCTTCCTGCGCAGTTTCGAAGATGCTATCCCCCCAGAAGCCCAGAGCACCTGAACGCAGAAGACGTCATTGGCTTTTGCGAGTCTCGAGGAGCGGCAACACTGGTCTTGTTGGAGAAGCAGCAGCAGCTGCTGCTGCAGCAACAGCAGCAGGCTGCGGAAGAAGGGGCTCCCGCAAATCCAGAGACTGTCGGCCTGAGCCTCACTTGGGGAGTATGGGCGCAGGTTGAGAGGCCGCTCATTCCCACGCTGGTGGCTGTGGAGAGACGGGGACTGTCTTTGTCAACGCCAATTTTGACGGATGGATGGAGGGCGAATCGGGGAGTTGCTCTGCATGCGCCAGAAACGCCGGACGCTGCGGATGGAGCTGCTGGAAGCGTTCTTGATGCACTTCCAGCAGATCTACCGCAGAGTCGTGCATTTACTCCTCCGCCGAGTGAGGGGGAACCTGCGACAACCCCGCAAACGCCCCCTGGCGACTTTGGCGAGGCCTTGCAAGAGCAGCGGATTCTGGAGCAGCACATTTGGAGGCTAATCCACCAGCTGACTGGTCGTACAAATGTCAATATAAACTCTCCCAGGTACTCTTTTTCTAGGCCCTTTCGATGGCGCATGCCTTTCGCGGTTTCGCCTCGCCTCCGTCTGAGTGCGAAATTCCCCACTCAAGCTTGGCTGGAGCCCTCTCGACTCGTCCAGCGTGCGTGAAATACTGGCGAGCAAGTTCGCTGGCCTCTGCGTGTATGTGCGAGTCCGTTGCTCCTCCCTCAGCCAGCTTGCGGAAATCCTGTTCGACGTCTTGCAACTGTCACCGCCTCCTTCAACGCGCGCTGGATCGGTTTCTAGTCTCACGGAGAAGACTCCAAGCAGCCAGGGAGGCACTAAAAGCAACCCCTGCAACACAGGAGGCCGCTCCACTGGAGCCGAGGCTCTGCAGGCCTTGCTCCGCGAGGCACTCTCCAAGAAACTGGACGCGCGTTCTGCGCAAGTGGCGGCGTACGTCGCTCAAATAACCGTGGTTCTACTACCGCTGTTCGTGTTACTTCTGGTCTTTTGCTCTTAGCCGTGGTGGCTTTTTAACTGGCCTTGATTTCGTTTTTCTGGGAGCTCCAGACAAAACTCCGCGCAGTCTTGGCCTCGTGTGCATGTATGCCCTAGAGAGAAGGGGATTATGGATCTTGAAGCGCTCCAAGGCTGCTGCACACTGTTGTGCTGCCCAAAATCCGCGGCTGTGCTTGCGCGCAGACTCCTCTCGGCTCTCCTGAAATATCGAGCTAGCCACAAGTTTGTCAGTACCTACTTCGCGTCTCTTCCTTCCTACATTTTTCCCCTTACGCACCGCATTCACTTTTCGCTGCTGCAAACAGGTATGTTCACGCCACGTGCTTCTCATGCTGCTGTTCGGCTCTGCGAGTAGTATAGCGGTGTCCGTCATTGCATGCATCTCTGCCTCTCGGTGTATTGACCAGCCATGCATGGTTACCAGTCCAGTCGGTCATGATATAGCCTAGTTTTATCTGCTGGAGATGATCGCATGAGGATGATGATGAGATGCATTCCCGAACAAATCGTCTTGATCGAGTTAACAATCTTCTGCCGTACAATTTTTTCGAAAATTGCTGCATCCGGTGTGCGTGCCCGTGCACCCGTATGCATTCCTCCGTTTCGCCTAAGGGACGGGAAGTCAAAGCGGATAACTTTATGGTTTCCAACATTATTTTTTTCATTGTAACGCATGCTTCATTATTTCGGTGCGTCTGGCACACGCACACGTAAGGGCGAGCGCAGGGGCTGCACTCTATTGTGTGCACTCAGGAGCCGCTACTGGACGCCTCGCGTGCAGAAATCCTAACCTTCAGAATATCCCGAATCACCAAGAAGAATGGCGGTGGATCAGGTGTGTGCATGAGCTGGCCACAATCAAGCAGCTTCTTTGCAAGAGAAGCTTGCATCGGCCGTTCAAAAGCATCTGTTATATAGGTTGCTGCCCATAGTTTCCTTGTGGCTTTCCTGATGGTGTAGTGCTAACGTGTAGCATGCAGCACACATAATCTTTTGGCGCAAGTTGAATTCTTTCGTTTGTCCGGTTAAAGGCGCATGGGTATACACTGAGGTGTGCTAATGCACTCTCGCATGGTTTGATGCGCACGCAGGCGAGCTTTCGTTCCATCTGCTGTCAATCCCTGCAAGGCAGATGAGGCCACAGTGCGTGGAGATGCCCTCACCAGTTCCTTGACGGCCATGCTTCTCGGAGCATCTCGAGAGGATGGGAGCCCAATGCCTGCAGCGGATGCCGTACGAGTGCCCCCATCCTCTCCATGGCGGTTTCTCTCCATAGACTACTCTCAGATGGAGTTACACATCCTTGCTTATCTTTCCAACGACCCTCAGCTGCTTAACGACCTAAGTGGCGGGATTTCATCGGGCGAGACAGGGCGTCGATATGACAGCTTCCAGTTGACGGCTTCTCGCTTGTTTGGCTGCCCTCCGGAGGATGTTACAAAAGAACGTCGCAGTGCTGCCAAAACCGTCACCTACGGTAAGGGCGTATTTTAAGTCTTTATAGAAGGAATTTAAGGCGTGCTCCTTACAGTTCTCCGGGTTATGCAGGAAGCATATTATCTCCTGTGAATCCACGCTCCATGAGCGTTTACAAAGAGGGCCTGTCTCGTTTGACGCTCACAAGCGCTGCTCCGGGTGCCGGACACCTCCTGTATCACAATTGGCTATCTTTTTTCATGAATGTAATAAAAAATGCGCACATATTTTCCCTGCACAATACATTTTTCGCGTCGATGAGTGCGCTCTCACTCTCTGTTGCGTGCCCAGGTATCCTTTATGGCCAGACGGAAGGGGGTCTCTCTCGTCAGCTTCGAGCGCCTCTGAAAGATGCTCGCCACCTAATTAATTGCTTTTTCAATGAGTACAAAGGCGTGAGAGCACTCATGCATACGCATACACAATTTGCCGAGGCCACAGGGACCATCGAAACCCTCATTGGACGAAGCAGGCGATTAGACGGCACAGACGTTGTATCGTTACAGCTGAAGCAGCATGCGGAGCTAGGTCAACTCCTTCAGCGTATCGGTGCTGCGAAAAAGCCTTTACCTCAGCAAGTGGGTATCGCCACGAGCACTGGAAGCAGCACGAAAAACCGCTGTAGGAGACAGGCCATGAATACCCCCATCCAAGGTCTTGCAGCAGACATTATGAAGTATGTCACGGGAAGGGTAGACGAGTTGCTTAAGCGGCAGCAACAACGAGCATTTGACCATGAAGACATGTTGCGGGCATCTACCCTGCGAGGAAGCGTAGGGGGAATACCAAATCTGCCGCCGCATTATCAAGCTCTCAGGAGACCTCTCAGGGCTCAGGTTGTGCTGCAAATTCACGATGAGCTGCTGCTAGAGGTACACAAAGAAGACATATCACTCACTCTGGAATTAGTACTGCCGTTGATGCAGCGTGCTTGGGGCCTACTGCTTGTGGAGACTAACTGCCTGGATCGCTACGCAGCGCTGTGCCAAGTACAGAGACGCCTTATAGACCCTCTAGGACACAACGACACCGACCATGAAAGTGCCTTGGCAAGTGCAGGTAATGGCAGCAATGTGGCTGAACAAGAGATCTGGTTCAGTCTCCCCGATCAATACGAGTGGCTGCGTCCCTTTCTTCAACGAAAGCTCCCCACGAGCGCCAAAAGCGGGCGTGACTGGGCGTGCTGTTAAATAAGCACGTACCCAGTGTGTTAGTGACTCCGTAAATGACGTTTCCAGCGCAAAAGGAAGTCCCTGTTCTTGCTGTCTTTGGGTGATGCCGTTAATACATCTGGCAATTTCACATTTAGAAATTTATGGGAGCTAGGGCCTTTCCATTGCTTGTGGAATCTAGGCCACTACTGTATGCAAACCGTCCGTAGTTGGCAAGGATTAAACATAGTTTAGATTACCATTTACGATCGTTTTATACGGAATTATAATGTATAATGTGCTGTAGGAGTACTTGGACATGTAAATAATATCCCGATGTACTAAGATTGATCCTCAAAAAGATTATCCTCGGCTACCGGACCTCGGTCCTGTCTAGGTAGTAACTAATAGGCACAAGAAGACACGCTAGCGTTGTGCTGCCTCTATGGTATGGCGGGATAGCGTGCGAGGCCAGTTGTTCCACGATGCCCAATGCCCTGCTTTGTAGGCGGTCGGCGACAAAAAAAGAATAGTGCAGTTCGTCGAATTTTCACTCTGGGAGGCGAGGTAAGATAGCCACATGAAGCGGGTTGAGTGCATTGCAGAAGAATATCACTAAATGGACGCAGTATTTTGCACCATGCAATCCCAAAACCCCAGTGCGGAGGATAGGAAGAGAGCGAGGACCGCTGAGTTGAAAGAAGTGATTCCGGTGGTCGTCATGCTAGACGAATTTTTACAGCTAAATTAGCCATGAGGATAAATGCTATTGGATGCACTGGATAATATTTATCTGAAACTTAGAGACTTAATTTAGTTCCTTTTAGTAATACTGGTGAATGTGACCACTGTCTTTGCTCCACAGATGGAAGCCTCAATGTTTCAAAAGGCAGCGCAGTCATGGCATCCTTATTCGTTTTCGATCAGTGCTAAATCCCCTCTAAAGCTCGCGAAATGCTGATATTGTGTAGTTTCAAAGCCTTTTCGTCGCTATAGTATTGTATCCTTGACGGGACGACCCTCACTTCGTCGTCAGGTGTGCCCCATCAAAATGCTCTGGCAGATCCATCGTTTCCATGGAACTTAACTGTACTAATTAAATGATACTATCGTGCTTACACCTTAATGGACTATTGCGTCGGGGGGAAAACAGAGCTTAACGTTGTTCGGTCGGTGGGACTGTGCCTCTCGATGCGTGGCCTATTCAACTCCTCGCTACTGTTGGTTCCGTTTCACGTTGAGTTGCCTGTTGCTCATGTATTATTAAGGTAAGGCCTTTACTTTGCGCAAACCTAGATATAGGCTGTTGCGCATCATATAAATTTTTATGCAGGCTTCACTTCTTCTCACATGAACTAGACAGAGGAGAGTTCTCGAGACGAATTTTCGGTTGAGCACAGCTGGGTGTGCTAATAACTCATGGCAAAACAAGTTCCTTCAGTTAAATGATACACTACTTCACTAAAGCCCAAAGCTTCGAGGGTCGTGATTTTATGGTGACTTCTTCGCGTAGGTGTGGGTAGAAATATTTTCAAATGCGGCGTGTATTCGAAATGCGTCTGGTACGAAGAACTAAGTAGACTTGCCAGAGCTTTCTAAAATAAATGACATGGTACTCAAGATTCTTGCTATTCCATCTGAAAGGCTCTTGCATTATTATTTCTAGGGTAAACAGCTTTCGCATGCCGTAGTAGGATATATCTCCATTTGTTGAAAATTTTGAAAGACACAGGAGTCAAAAGGATCCGGTGCCTCCTGACCTTCCAAAGAACTTTTGATCAATCCATGAGTGTGTCCAGCAATATATCAAGTTCTAACCTTATTCCTCGTAATATTACAGCTTAGACATGCTTTTTGTCCAGGCATCGTCGAAAATGCAAGGCCCCGTTTTCCATCTTTCAGACTACATATCAATCTTATCTCTGTGATCGCAACCGTGCCTGGCCCTGTTACTCACGCTCAAGCTAAAGGCAGCTCTGAAGTCAAAGTCTCAGCCATCGGGCGGTCACATCGGCTTACCCCACAGCAGGTCTAGCAGGACATCGTTGAGCCGTGCACGCGCAGAGATGCTCTACAGTGCAGTTCACCAAATATTGGTTACTCACCAGGTTATAGGGGTTAGGGCAGAACTGTGAAAGAAGAATGCAGTGCTGGGTGCACTAATTTTGTAGTAAGTTAACGCCGAAAATATTTTCTTATTCGCCAGAATGTTGGGAGAAAATGGCTGTTGTGGCAACGAAGTCACGCTTTGACACCAAAGATCGTGGTGCACGGTTTTCTATGGAGAGATGAGAATGCCAGAAAAGAAATCTCGAGAGGTCGCAATTTAGTATAACAGAATACAGTGGGTGGTGCCAGATATATTGAATTAGTGGAAGCTTCCAAATGTGCCTTCAATTGAACTGCTGGTAGTTCTCATTCTTCCCGGTTCCAAATTGTCTCTGAAGGCAAGCCTACATTGTCCATCGAGCCCTTTAAAAGCTCAGATCCACGAAAGTACGTTGATGAACATTTTCTCTATATCCTAGGCCCCGTTCGCAGCTCGGCTTAGGCCGTTCCTTTATTGAGTGCAAAAAAATTGATTGCCTCATTCAAAGTTTACGACAGGGTGAGTTTGGGAGCTGGCGTCTTCCTTGTTGTGGCGTAAGGGGACACAACTAGCAGGCACAACTCCACCTTTCGAGGGAAAATGTCTCATGCCGAATGCCAATGCTTGCCGGCCACAACTTTGCTTTGTGTTAACTGTCACATCCCATGCTTGTTGCAGAGGGGCGACGATGTACCCCCTCTGGAATGGAGTTGATGGTAGCTATGCAAATTGTGTCTCCGACACGGTAGATATTGTAGCTGTAGCTACAATTTCTATCGGTAGCGAAAAGCAGGTTCAGAGTGCCAGTGCTGAACAACGGGAGCAAAAGTAGCTATTGGGCGTACACATTTAAATACTGCCGCTATTTCAAGTTAAATGTTCTATGGTACGTATCCTAAGCTTTTTTGGCAAAACTACTTTGTAATTTGCATGCGTTCCAAAATCTACGGGTGGTCGCACAAGGAGCATTCCAGCAGTTACCTGGAGACGCTTTTGGCCTACCTGGATCTAAGAACCACAACAATTTCCCATTTCAACTGCTTGGTAGAGTAGAAGTAATGAAGGAAACAACCTTGCATATGGTTTTTGAGCAGACCTTTCATGTGGTCAACTATTTCTTGCACAATTATCCAGTCACGCGTACCGCAACACCAAGCATTGTTAAGCACACATTGTAATGTATTCGTGGATGGCCTTATTGGTGCTTTCTATTTCAGATACCTCTAATACCATTGGCTGATTTTTTATGGATTGCTGTATATGGGCTTGCAAAACAAATATCAATCTACATGCAAGAACACAAGAGCAAAGAAACTCTACCTGGACCTCAGAAGTTCCTTCAAGCGAGGAGATGAAGTGGTTTCATAAATGTTCAGCCCCTGTGAAGTTAGAAGTAGGCATTGTAAACTGACTACTTTATCGAGTGGCTTCGAGAGTGCTTGAATAAAAAGGCGAGGGATTTTCGCATACAGCTCGCGCGGTTTGGAAATTGATATTTAGTGGAATCCGGTAAGTGGGATACTCGATTAACAGCTGCAGTTCACATAGTGCCTAAGGCACAACACTACCAAATACTCAGCATAATTGGCTTGTATTATCAGAAGCCTCTAGACGTAAATGCATCTGCAGTAGCTGCAGTATGGCCTCTCGCGTGTGTTCTGGCCACTCTCAGTGGATTTTCCCTTTCCTGTGGGCATGCAATCATGGATCGTAGCGCGGCATTCATCGGAATCTTGAAGAGACAATGCCAAACATTGTCACCGTCACCCTAGCACTAAGAACTAGCACTTTACACCTGGAAGAGCTACCAATGAGGCGGAAACGACTTTGAAACGACAAAGTTTAGAATAACCAGAATGGTGTTACTCGTTCTTGTTTATTGCCGATCCAAGGCCTTGAAGTCAAGCATTCAAAAGAAAGAGGCAGAGTCAGTGACGTGTAAATCAAGTCTCGAAAAATTCTCCGGCAGTTCATTTTGAGCAGATGCTGATCCCGCCACGCCGCTTCGAGCTGCAAATTTGTTGCTAATGGAAACTCTGTTACAGTGAATAAGGGTACATACTAATTACTGATAGTTGATCTTCCGACATAATTCTTTGCTTTTACCTGGTACATAATCTGATGCACATATTAAGCGCAGGCGTGGCATCGAGAAGGAGCTTGCAGTCGCAAGTAGGCTTCCGCGGTACACTACTGATTCTGTACCACTTGTAATGGCAGCATCATGCTGCTGCTCAAAGGACGCTCTTCGTGGCTCCATTGAAGGAAGGATACGAAGGTACACCTGAGGCCATCCTGGTGTAGAATCATCAAATCCTTTTTGGAACGCAAACGCAAAAGCTTAGTGGGAATGCGTTAACACCAGTGCGGGTTTTTTTGAAGCACGTATACTTTTCTTACTGTACGAATACACGTAATACGTTTCGAAACAGGCCGTGCATAAGCGCTTGTACATCAACAATTATGCCCTTCGAATTTTCTAATAACACATCTAACCACTACCTAGATTATTTTGCGCCGTCAATTGCAACTGTTCTGGTACTCTCAACCCCAAGTAAGAGTACTCCAGCCTAGATTGAACTTTCAAATTGCTCATTTATTGTTCCTTGCTACAGGCCTAATCTGCGTACTTCCTCCAGGACCACGACACCAACGAAGTTGGCCTTTGACGGTTGACGTAGCAGCACATTATTCGAACTCCCATGGCCTTTTGAACAGGCTCCCAGGTACTTCCGTGGGCTCGGGCTCTACAAAGACGTTTTGCGGATTAGTTCAAGACTTTGGAGTACTTTTGGATGTGGCATTTGCTCCAATTATTACCGTATCAGTCAAGAGCCATGTCAGATGTCCGCGGATTAGGAAGGCAGGGAGACCCCTTTTCCGAGTTACGATCTACCAAACATTTTAATAAGTACAGTTTGTACACTCTGCAGCTAGATTATTTTTAAAG